TTCGAGGACCTCTTTCTTCTGGAAAAGAAAGTGAATTAACAAAGAAATGAATCGTAAAAGTAAATAACTGGCCTTACTGAACGTAATCAAAGTAAAACTGAACTGCTTACCTAATCAACAGAAAGGCAATGAGGAATATGATACCCACAGTAACAGCAGTTATTGATCCAGCAGCGACTGATTGCATTGAACCTGGGAAACAGTGACAATTAGCTTTTGTATTACAGGTATTTTTGAGTGTATTAACATGTGATTATTAGTCATTAAATCTGAGATCTTAAGCATTTAAAATAGTAACTCATCAAAGTTTGCTTTTGCTTTTGCCTCCCATAAATGATCAACAGCACAAGGGTATTTTTAAAACCGGAAACAACCATTGGTATTGGCGCCCCCCAGACTAAAGATTAATAGTTGACTTTGTACTCAAATGATCAAATCTCTGTCTTGGATTCTTTAGCAGAGCAGTCAACTGATCCCAACTTAGTGATGAGGTTAATCACCTTATCAGGAATGCTGCCCACTCCAAAGAAATACTTAATGGAAAGTTTGGGAAACTATAGTTTTCGATGCCAAAGAGAGGGATTCGAAGATATTCTGGCAATCTGTCCGGTGACTGAAAAAAGGGAGGCAAGACCTTTCCTAGCATCTCGTCAAAAGTGAAGAAGTGCTGACCTCGACTGGGAGAGCAGAGAGTGTTGGATGACTTGCAAGTAGTCAAAAAGCCTCAAGATGACAAGGGGTAAGGCAAAACAAATTATTGATTGGTTGTACTGGTTGACAACCCACTGCAGAGTAACGCAGAGGTTGTGGAGATGCCTGTGTCCTAGCAGAGAGGGGAAGTAGACTATATGTGTGCTAGAAATGATCGGGGTATCACAGAAAGTCTGACAAATTCGAGCAGCAAACCTCAGATTTAGAATTGAAAAAATAATTCTGTCCAGAGATAGTAACAGTAAATTGCATCTTGGCTCTTCAAAGAACTGTAGTGGTTCCGAGACTTTTCCACATGTATGATATGAACTTGGAAGTTGCTGTGCCTCTTGGGATGTCCTGTGGGGCGAAATGACTTACCTCCTGCCACAACAGTCAGATGTAAGGTGGAGTTACTACGTCCTAACTTGTTCTGGGCTTCACAGTAATAACTCCCACTGTGTTCAGCTCCAAAGTTAGTGATGTTGAAGATCTGTCCTGAAGCTTTTGGTGAGTCTTCATTCTCCTTGTACCAGGTGTAGTTAGCTGCTGGGTTAGCATCAGTGCTACAGGTCAGAGTCACTGAACTGCCCTCCTCTATCTCAGCAGAGGGACTCACTGACACAGAGGGGAGCTTTGGAGCATCTGGAGGAGATGCGAAAACAAATAATTGTCTAGGTTAAAATTAGTGTTTTAACATTACATGTTGTACAGGATATTTTAAATCACTAAATGTGAGAAGCTATGTGCAACTGCATTGTATATTTTGAAGGTGGTCTGACCAATGGATGGTTCACGATTTAAATATAGGTCCTTAAAGTGCACTAAGCCTCTGTTATCTCCTGAAGCTGCTCAGTCATTTACAGCAGACTGTAAATATAATGCAAGTGGATGTAAGAAAACATTTATGATTACTCACATTTCACATCAATAAAGGTGTTTACAGATGTGCTCCTCCCCAGCTTGTTCTCAGCTCTACAGTAATACTGTCCAGAGTCAGAGGACTGGATGGAATTAAAGACAAGCTGTGGTGTCTTAATTAGCAGTGTTTGGTTCTTCTTGTACCAGGTGTATGTAGCTGCTGGGTTAGCATCACTGCTACAGGTCAGAGTCACTGAAATGCCCTCCTTTATCTCACCAGAGGGTTTTGACAAGGATGGAGTCCTCGGAGCATCTGGAGGAGAAGTGTGAACAGTAAATATTCAGAATGTGTTTCTCACTGCATTAGCTCAAAGGGTATCTACATTACTGAACACTGAATAGCTGCATTTCGAGTCCTTACAGAGCATTGAATGAGGAACTCATTCCAAAATAACCCTAACTTGAAGGACAGTTGTTGAGTATTTACTAATCACATTTTGTAGAGTACACTGAAAACACTAAAACATTGACTTTAATGAAATGTATTATGTCAATAAATTAAAATGTGTTTGCATTAGGTGAGTTGAAAGCAATAATATTAAGTTGAACCTAATATTTTTCATTTAAAATGTATATTATTGCTTTCAACCAACCTAATACAAGTATGTGTAATTTGTTGACATAATACATTTAATTATAGTCAACGTTTCAGTTTTTTCACTGTAGCTAAGGAATATATTTTAGAGAAACAACCGCTGGATATTATGTAAATGAAATAATATGCACTGTAAATAATTGTTCATGGGTATTTCTGAATTGTTATTGGTCATAATAAAGTAATGATTTGTCATTGGTTAAATGCCGTTTAGTGTATCACTTTAATCAAGTCACAACTATGAATAGAGTCATGGAATTTAAGGATTTAGAGATAGCCTTGTACAGTTAATAACAGTAAATATTAGTTAAATATAACAATATTTAACAGTCGTTTCTCAATGATGTCATCATTAGCAACTCTATAACATGTGATTAGAAGTTACTGCCAGTTCACTTTTCATTACCCACTTGTTCCCTGGATCCCATGTAATGTAAAGCAAGCTGAGCTGAATAAAGTAGTGATGATAAGTAACATCTTCTCTTGAAACAACTAGACAGATATAAGCTTGTTATCTTTAAATAAACTGTCTTACTCACATTTCACGTCAATAAGGATGTTTTCAGATGTGCTACTCCCCAGCTCATTTGTAGCTGAACATAAATACTATCCAGATGGATGGGTCATGGTTTTAATCTGGGACCTAAAACTGCATAAAGCTTCTAAAATCTCCTAGAGTTGCTCACAGAATTGCAGCAGACTGTAAATTACATCGATAACCAATACTTACATTTCACATTAATAGAGATGTAATTAGATGTGCTCCTTCCCAGCTTGTTCTCAGCTCTACAGTAATACTGTCCAGAGTCAGAGGACTGGATGGATCTGAAGACAAGCTGTGGTCGTTCACTGAGAGGAGGAACGTCTGCGTTGCTATTCCTCTTGTACCAGGTGTAATTAGCTGCTGGGTTAGCATCACTGCTACAGGTCAGAGTCACTGAATGGCCCTCCTTTATCTCAGCAGAGGGACTCACTGACACAGAGGGGAGCTTTGGAGCATCTGGAGAAACATAAATAAATTATGGGTGTAAATTGCAATCAAGCAACATGTAAATTCAAAGGATAAATAGTGTGTCCATATCCCAAGTATGTTTACATTGTAATGTAGATCCTGGATGTGTAACACGTCTGCTGCTGATGAGCAATTACAGCCAAAATCATGTGTTTAATCCAACCCGGTATCACGGCAAGACGTGAACATGTGACGATCTACCATGCTGGGAGACGTGAATATGTCACGGTTTCGTCCCTTCAAACGTGACAGTTACACGGTATTGTTAACATGGCCCAACCAGTGGAGAAATACCCGGAAGTGCCAAGCAAAGGGTCTACCGCGCCTATTGGTCGGTTTTTATTGTCAAAATTAGATGTTTTTAATTTATTGCCTGGCAACGCAATCGCACAACGTCACGTCCGTTAATTCCACATCCACACCTCCACACACATGGATTAACATCGATTTAATACATTAATGTAGCCTTTGTTTCTGCTAAAAGAGGTGTCGACCAGCGAGGGCAACAAGAAAATCGGCGAAATCGAGTGTGACGATTAAAAAATAAATTAAAAATATCTAATTTTGACAATAAAAACCGACAAATAGGCGCGGTAGACCATTTGCTTGGCACTTCCGGGTATTTCTCCACTGGTTGGGCCATGTTAACAATACCGTGTAACTGTCACATTTGAAGGGACGAAACCGTGACATATTCACGTCTCCCAGCATTGTAGATCGTCACATGTTCACGTCTTGCCGTGATACCGGGTTGGTTTAATCATTTTAAACCTGAACATCTTCATCTTACTAGCAGACTAACTCTAACCCTGCATGAAGACTGTGATGTTAATCACTGTGCACTAAGTATTCTTGGAGATTAGGATAATACACGTCATATTGAGCTGTACATCTCTCTGTATGATAAACTGTTTTTTTTATTTATAATACTGTTTTTTCACCTCCTTAATGTTTATTTTGAAGTGGGCCCACATCATGATTAAATTCTGTTGCAGCTGCCGACTGAGGTTTTTAGTGAGAATCCAGTTTTTTCATCTTGCTCCTGTAACTTGGAATAACATGAAGAACAATATAAAGCTAACCTTATTCATGATAGATATTTTGTGATGTTTCTTGCTGCCTACCGGATTTTCTGTTATTGTTGATATTTTGTATTTTTACCTCTGATATGTTGTAAATGATGTCTCTACCAAAATCTATTTCATCTGTATGTTGTTTACCTAGAAAGCTTTTTGTTTCTATAAATAATACTGCTGCGTCTGCATTAAGAATCAGAAGACTATTGTAAGGTTTCTAGCTGAAATGGTCAATGTATTGAAATGTCAGTGTTTGTGTATGAGTGAACTCACACACTATAGGAGAAGAGAAGGCTTCATGACCTTCCAGAGCACAAGAGATAGTGTCTGTGAGTTTAATCCAGCCTTTATAGGAAGATATCCATGTTGTCGTGATTTTCTCTCCGTTCTTGACCCAGATGTAGGAAACACCGGCTGGACTGCAGCTGCTGTGACACTTCAGCTCTGCATAGGTATTATACTGCCGGTAAGTTGTTCTGATCACCTGCACCTGCAGAGCTGGATATGAGGAAAATAAACAATATTATATCACTCGGTCTAAAATGAAACTGATGATAAATATATATACCCATTAACACAACAGTCTACAGTTGGTGAACAAATATGATAACTCATCCAACAGTAATTACAAAAACTCAACTTCCAGTATGTTTTCATTGTAATGTGTTGGTGTAAACAGTATACATCAGTTTGTGTTGATCAGTACCTGTGACAGTCAGAGTTGTTCCAGGTAAATCACTCCTCCATTCAAAGCTTGGTGTTTTGAATTTGAAGAGATACTGAGCTGAATCTGAGTTTCTCAGGTCAGAGATCCTCAGAGTGGAGCGTCCTCTCTCTGTTTCAAGGATCTGAGCACGACCTGCATACTGGGAGTCTTCACTGAGGTCCTCAGGTTGAGAGGGATTCTGTCCCTGATGACTACGCTCAGGACTGAACCATAATTTAGATTTAATACAGTCATTACTGCTGTACATGCAGGAAATGTCCACTGATGATCCTTTGGGGGCGCAGATACTTTGTTTAGTGTAAGTCACCATGTTGCTGTCTCGACCAGTGACACCTGAAACATTCAAACTCATTTTTACACCATTGTTTTACCAGAGTTGATGAGAAGTCACATACCCATACAGTTAGCTATGGCTTCCACTAGATGGTGTTATGTTAGAATAAGGTAGTGAAGTGAACTCACACACTGAAGGGGAGAGAGAGTCCTCATATCCTTTCAAGGCACAGGAATAGCTGTCTAGATAATTAAAGTCGACCTGAAGAGAAGATGTTCCTGACAGAGTGTTTCCTCCGTTCTTGTACCAGACGTAATCATTATCAGGTAAATCACAACTGCTCTGACACTTCAGGTTTGCCCTGCTATAATCTTTGCGTTCCACCTGCACCGAGAGATCTGTATTTGTGAAGAAGGAACAGGAAGGTTATTTAAGAATAAACTCTCAACATTCATGTATATAAAAACACATCACATTTATATTATTGTTTTCTTAAAGTTGAACATTTGGAACTGATTGGTGTTACCTTTGACAGACAAAGTGACTCCAGGTGAACCATTATATTTTCCATCTGCTTGGTTTGTTTCGATCCTGAACTTGTAGTCAGCTGAGTCGCTCTCTCTCAGGTTTCTGATTCTCAGAGTGCAGATGTTGTTTTCACAGAGATTCTCTACACGACCTGCATACTCTGACTCTGTGGTCACATCTACAGGTTCACCATCTTTCTGTTTAGTGAACCAGAATGTTTTCATAACTGTGTTAACTCCGCCTCTCCATGTAGATGGGTATGTGTAGCTGCATCTTATCTCCACTGTTGATCCTTTCACTGCACAGATCTCAGTAGAAGAGAAAGTCACTCCCCAGTCATTCTGACCCTGAACCACTGTAACACAGAGCACATCAGAAACTAGAATCAGAGTCATAACAACATCAAATACCAGACTTTCATTTGTAGTGTTGATGTTTCAGTCCACATTTCTCGAAACTACTTATCCACATGCGCCTTGGGCAAACTCAGCAAAACTCAGTATTAAATGTTTTTCTTACATTGTTCATATTTTAATAATTTACCTTAATGGGTTAAATATATTGTGATTATAGTTTTAGTGTTTTAGGGTCTGAGGTATAGAGTTATGAGTAAGTGATGTTAGTGCACTGAGTCAGGACAACATGCACCCTGTGTTGAACCTGTAAACTTTAACACATTATTTCTTAGACAACATTTCAAATAAATAAAAACATATTAGAGGGTGTGGTACATAAAATAGAGTTTTCTTTGCTATGTTGAGTATTTCTCTGTGGAAAGGCTGCTTCAGGGTTTGAATGGAAACTTTAAAGAAAAGCAGAACTTTGACGCGTTTAAAACTAAGATAACAAATTACTGAAAGAGAGTTTATTTTTAAGTATTGGACTTCTAATTGCTTTCAAAAGTAGACACCAACCCACAAACATTGATTACTTCCTGTATGTTGCACCTGCTATATCTCTCCTCATTGACAGAAGGAAAGCATCATCTCTGCAGAAATGTCTAGATATTTATCAAAGCTACAACAGCAACTGAACAACATGTATTTAAAGTTATGTTGAGGACTGCAGGACGATAGAGGAAGTTCAACACAGCGATGAATTGGCAATTATTTAAAGCATGAGTAGTTTGTTAATGTAGGTACTGTATGTACAGTCATTATTTCCATCCATACAGACATAGTGTTACCATGCTAAATGGTGCTGTATTTCTAAAGTGTTTAAACGATCATACAATATAAATGTAGATGTACAGTACGTCTCACAGAGAGGAGGAAGACAACAAATCCACTCGCTGCTGCAGTTCAACTCATAGCTGCTGCTTTTATTTTTTCACCTCCTTAAATTATCTTGTGGGCTCTCATCATGATTAAATTACGTTGCAGGTGCTGGCTGTTTTTACTGAGCTTGCAAAAATCTAAATGTTCTCATCTTGCACCTGCAACCTTGAATGACATTTAGAACAATTTAAAGCTAACCTCATTTATGATATCTTTCTTTGTGAGGTATCTTGGTGCCTAAAGGATTTACTGTTATTGTTGATATTTAGTTTTGTTTGTAACTCTTCTTTATTCAAAATGAGGTCTCCACCAAAATCTATGTCTTCTGTGTGTCTCTTTTCCTAAAATGGCTTATTTACTGGCTGTAGTTAAGCTTTCTTTTTCGATATATATAACTGCGGCATCTGCATTGAGATTCAGAAGACTCCTGTGAGGTTTTGTCTGAAATTGTCATTGTATGTAATGTCAGTGTGTGTGTATGAGTAAACTCACACACTGCAGGCGAGGGGAAGTCTTCATGTCCTTCAAAAGCACAAGAGATCCTGTCTGCGTGGTGAAGCAAGCCTTTATAGGAAGATATCGTTGTTGTGGGGATTTTCTCGTCGTTCTTGAACCAGACATACGAAACACCGGCTGGACTGCAGCTGCTGTGACACTCCAGCTCTGCTAAGGTATCAGACTGCTGGACCCAAGCTGTGATCACCTGCACCTGCAGAGCTGGATATGAGAAAAATAAACATTTGAAAAGACACAATATTATATCACTTGGTGCAGCGGTTAATTTGGGATTTGTTATGAAAGGGGTGGGGGGCTGATAGATGAAGAGAACAATCTTTTTAATAGTCACATTAAACTGTTTACATCTTAAAATATTGCAATATACACTCAATATATATTCAAAACTTTCCCTTTACTTCTCGAAGTGCCATTTTAAATTACCATTTCCTTGTAATCGAGCTAAAGGAAAGTGAAATGAAACTACAAGTGACTGAATACACCTTACCAAGCAGGATCATGGGGAAAGTGATAATCATAATTATATATCATAATTATTGTGAAATAAACATTAAGAAACGGCGCACTGCTCTGACTTCCATGTTGTGCCACAATTGTGCTAACTTAAAAACTAGGGATGCACCTTATTAGAAAAAACTGAAATTGCAATTCCACTTAATATTGCAATACTTAAGAATTACAGAAAACTTGTGAGGTTAGATTAATCTTGTAAAACGTGTATTGTATACAAATGTGAGTTCCAAACATCTCTAACGCTGGCTGGTGTATGGCTGTGTATATTTAATTTAATATGCAGCAATGTAAACTTTTGTTTCGTAAACATATTCATTGTTGAATAGCTGCGAGGCTGATGACGTGAGAGCGAGGACTGTATTTGAAGGTATAAAGTGTAGGTGTATTTTCATCAGTGTGTGTTGATCAGTACCTGTGACAGTCAGAGTTGTTCCAGGTAAATCACTCCTCCATTCAAAGCTTGATGTTTTGAATGTGAAGCGATACTGAGCTGAATCTGAGTCTCTCAGGTCAGAGATCCTCAGAGTGGAGCGTCCTCTCTCTGTTTCAAGGATCTGAACACGACTTGCATACTGGGGGTCTTTACTAAGGTCCTCAGGTTGAGAGGGATTCTGTCCCTGATGACTACGCTCAGGTCTGAACCAGAACTTTGATGTAATACATTCATTACTGCTGTACGTGCAGGAAATGTCCACTGATGATCCTTTGGGGGCGCAGATACTTCCTTGAATGGAAGTCACCGTGTTGCTGTCTCGACCAGTGACACCTGAAACATTCAAACTGATTTTTAAACCATATTTTGACCAGAGTTGATGAGAAGTCACAAACCCATACAGTTAGCTAAGGCTTCCACTAGATGGTGTTATGTTAGAATAAGGTAGTGAAGTGAACTCACACACTGAAGGGGAGAGAGAGTCCTCATATCCTTTCAAAGCACAGGAATAGCTGTCTAGAAAACTCAAGTCGACTTGAAGGGAAGAAGATGTTGCTGTTCGAATCTTTTCACGGTTCTTGTACCAGACGTAATCATTATCAGGTAAATCACAACTGCTCTGACACTTCAGGTTTGCACTGCTAGGATCTTTGCTTTCCACCTGCACCGAGAGATCTGTATTTGTGAAGAAGGAACAGGAAGGTTATTTAAGAATAAACTCTCAACATTCATGTATATGAAAACACATCACATTTATATTATTGTTTTCTTAATGTTGAACATTTGGAAATGATTTGCATTAATACAAATGTTACCTGTGACAGACAAAGTGACTCCAGGTGAACCAACATATTTTCCTCCTGCTTGGTTTGTTATGATCCTGAACTTGTACTTCACTGAGTCGCTCTCTGTCAGGTTTCTGATTCTCAGAGTGCAGATGTTGTTTTCACAGAGATCCTCTACACGACCTGCATACTCTGAGTCTGTGGTCAGATCTACACGTTTACCATCTTTCTGTTTAGTGAACCAGAATGTTTTCTCAACTGTGGTAACACTGCTTTTTGGGTATGTGTAGCTGCATCTTATCTCCACTGATGATCCTTTCACTGCACAGATCTCAGTAGAAGAGTAAGTCACTCCCCAGCCATCCTGACCCTGAACCACTGAAACACAGAGCACATCAGAAACATTCATCAGACTCATTAGACTTTCTTAGCTTCATCAAACACATCTTTTTACTATTTCATATTATATTAATTTACATAGACGGGAATGTTCTGATGTTTGTTTCTAACTGGGTTTATACTATAACAAAGTTGTAATGTTGTTTCCAGTGAACAGAGGCATCAAAAACATATATAATGTTGACGTAGGACATCATGCTGCAGTGTATTTAACCTTTAACGCATTATTTACCTGATAAATACTCAGATAAATACTTAGATTTCAAACCTTAGAAAAAGATAAGAATAACATATTAGAGGGTGTGGATCAGAACAAAGAGTCTTCTTTCCTGGCTTGCTTTTCTCTCAGTGATCCGGCTGCTGCAGGGCGTGAATGGAAACTTCAAAGAAAAGCAGAACATTGAGGCGTGTGATATTAAGATAACAAATGACTGACAGAGAGGTTATTTTTAAATTTGACTAATTGCTTGCGAAAGTCGACACAAATGTTGCATGTTGCACCTAGGTCTCCTCATTGTCAGGTAAAAGAAAGCATCTGGCTTCTCTGCAGAAATTAGATATTTATCAAAGCTACAATATCCACTAAACCACATGAGTATTTATGTAAAGTCATGTTTCTAAATGACTCTTAACATAAATCCAATGTTCAGTCTTGTTTTGTCAGATAAATATTACTATGTCCCCATCTTCATGCTGCAGTAACTTTGTGTATCCTTATGTTGGTGATGCCTGAAGTGCAGAGTTTTGAGAGGTCTTATCATTGAAGAAAGCTGCATATAGCACCTTGCGTTGATAGTGACTTACTGCACTAACTTGTTACTGTGATCGCCCCGGTTCCTTTTTTGCATGTCATACCCAGATCTCTCTTCCTGTTTCCAGTAAGTCTTTACACTTTTCACCGTCCAATGGAGGCAAAACATGAAGAAAATGCAAAAGCTACGATCATGTACATGCATGCAAACAGACGTTCATGCATTCACGTACACACACCTTCACAAACACTTGACCTGCAGGAACAAAACTGTGGCCGCCATAAAAGAGAGAAAGAGCGTTCAGTTGCAGGGCGCAGCTGAAAAACAGTAAAGTTGTTTTTTTTGCCATAAAAGCAAAACAATAATCTAAAAGAAGCTTAAACTTTAGTGAGGTGATTATTATTGTGTTTTCATTTCTACAAGCAACCCCTCGTTCCTTTGACTCATTGTTCATTAAAAAAGTATTCATTAGTGATGCTTTTTATCCACGTTGCAACTCCTACCATAAGTTATCTCTTAAAACACTAAAGACATGACACAAGCTCATGTTATGTTTCTGATTTATTACATTATCAAATAATTCTAAATGTATTCTAAGGCGGAAAAAGACTCGCTAAAGTTAAGTGTTGAGGACTGCAGGACGACAGAGGAAGTTCAACAGAGCGATGAATTCAAATTTGCAATTATTCAAAGCATGTTTTGTTTGCTAATGCAATTATGTACAGTCATCATTTCTATCCACACAGACAAACACTCTGTTTTTCACTCTGAGGTGCATTAACTGACTTACAATATAAATGTAGATGTACTGTACCTTGCACAGAGAGAAGGAAGACCACCAATCCACTCGCTGCTGCTTTTAACCTCATAGCTGCTCCTCACGTCTCTGTTAGATTTGCAGGTAGATCACACATGAGAAATACTCTATCAGTATATCACCAAAAACATCTCTACAGAAATAAGGAGGATGTGGTCTTTGAAGGCAGTGTGTTTCTTCTGTGGCTGGTACAGTTCTGCTGTTTAAAACCAGCCTGGTTTCCTTCCTCTTTACATTATTAGTATATATGAGCACATGAATTACTGTAAATCCCCAAATAAAAATATAGTTAATGGAAATGACAAGCATTTTGATCTCTTTTTACCTTATATTACAAGTAAGGATCAGTGTATTTAAAACCCAGGTACAAAAGATATTCGTGCCATAAACATGCAGCCAGACGGCCATTGTAGTCTGAGTGTACGTGTAAAGTAAAAGACAACCACATTTTCTTTATTTGTACCTCATGGCTTTCTAAATGTTAACATTAAGGCGGTAGACAGAGTGCACGTTGTAGAGAGAATGTTTGAGAGCAGACGTTTGGATGTGGTTTGCGTCTGTACTATACATCATCAGAGCTTCCTGTTAGAGTTTCAGAAAGACTTGTGGTTGTGGTTTTAGAAAAGGAACTGCTGAGGTGGGAGGTCACAGCTGAGGTGGGAGGTCACAGCTGAGGTGGGAGGTGGGAGGTCACAGCTGAGGTGGGAGGTCACAGCTGAGGTGGGAGGTCACGGCTGAGGTGCGAGGTCACGGCTGAGGTGGGAGGTCACGGCTGAGGTGGGAGGTCACGGCTGAGGTGGGAGGTCACGGCTGAGGTGGGAGGTCACGGCTGAGGTGGGAGGTCACAGCTGAGGTGGGAGGTCACGGCTGAGGTGGGAGGTCACGGCTGAGGTGGGAGGTCACAGCTGAGGTGGGACGTGTACTCTAACAACTCACCTGCTACCATCATTACTACAGACAGACGTGTCCCTTGAGAACAACGCCATAAAAATAGTTGCATCGTTGTATAGATACTGAGATAAAACGACTGAATAAGGAGAAAGAAAGAAGTTGCAAAGTGAGAAACGTACAATCTGTCAACATGACAAATCCTTGTTGATAGATGATCCAGTAGTATTAAACAAACCACCTGATACAAATGTGCTCTGTGGGGTTACTCAACAGTAGAGCTTAAAGGTCACCTATCATGCAAAATGCACGTTTTGATGTCTTTTATACATAAATATGTGCCGCGGCGCTGGTGTGTCAGGAGACTCACAAAGTGTCTGAAAATACAACACTCTCTCTTTTCCTCCTTACCCACATCTCTAAAAACGGAGCTGATCCAGATTTTCTGCGGTCATGACGACATTACTCAAATGTGCCCACGGCCCTATCAGAAACGTTGCTATCAGAAACAATGCACGGCCTGTTTTGGGAATATAATATGGTCTTTGTTTACATTAGCATCGCTAACACTCAGAGCTAACCTGTACTGGAGAGAGCATGTGTAAAGAAGCAGGATGTTAAAGGAACTCACCTTGTGGTAAACCTGAGAGAGAAAAAGCATTTGAGCTCCATACTGTTTCAGAAATAATCTTTGATGTGGTTTGGAACATAATATGGCGTTAAATCACGGCAGCATTTAGCTGAGAATCTGAGTAGAACTCTCCTGCATGAGCTCTCCTCTCTTTATTTTTATTTTTTTTAAACTACAGACACAGAATCAGCACTTTAGTAACAGGACTGAAATAGAGGGGTTTGAGGCTAGAATGGGTGATCTGTTTTGGTATGTTGAGCAAAACACTTCATAGACATGTTATTATATCTGAGACCTATAATATATGCCTAACAATAGTATAACAGTAGACCTTTAAAGCTAAATGCTAACATCAGCATGCTAACATGCTCACAATGACAATGCTGCCATCCTGGTGGTTAGCACGCTTATTGTTTACCACGTTTAACAATTCCTTTTAACGTGTTAGCTGGCTGGCTAGCATTTGGTATAGGCCTATAGCAGTTACCACAATTAATAGCTTAAGATAAGTATAGGCCTGTTGTATATTGCATTACACACTGCTAACATGTGACAAAACAGGGACAATCTCGGCTAACAAATTGTTAAAATAACATTGTCCCAGCGGTGGAAAGTAATTAAATACATTTATTGAAGTATTGTACTCAAGCACTATGTTGAAATGATTTTCTTTATTTTGAGAGCATCCATTTTATGCTACCTAAACCTTTACTCCACTACATTTATTTATCAGTTTTAGCTTCCATTTACATATAAATACTTGATATGACGTGATACAGTACTGTGCTACTTGACGACAAGAGTACTTGAAAAATTGCTTAACATTGAAATAGTACACTGGGGATAAAAACCCAATTATAATATTCTAAAATACTTTGCTAATTCAATCCTGTTAAAGGACAATTCTGCAATATGAGTACTTTTAGTTTGATATTTGAATTACAATTGACTGATTCTTCTGTACTTCTACTCAAGTCACATTTTCAATTCCTAGCTTTAACTTGTGATCAAGTTCATAGTATTTCTACTTTTTCTTAAGTAGAGGATCTGAGTACTTCTCCCAACACTGCTTTGTTTCAAAGGTAAGACATTAGTAGAACAAATGTTTAATTATTTGGTGATTCTAATAGGGACTTGAAGGCCTAAACCACAGTTTGCTAGGCAAAACACATAGGCAATACAATGGACTAATGATAACACAACAGCTAAGTGCTCTTTGAGAGAAAAGACACTACACACTCGAAAGGGCAAAACAGATGGATAAGACATACTCTATATCACTCAATATGAAATGTATAATATGGACAATGTGACAAAGGTTTGGTCAAAAGGACTGCAAATGTATTTACAAATACTCATTCAGAATTAAAAGACAATTCACAACTTAAAAAATACTTTAACAATTTAAAAAAGAGAAAGCTACCAAGAGCATACCTCTTTACAAGATCTATGACTAAACATATTTCATAAGGACAAATAATAATAATATTTCCAAAAACACATAAAATAAGGCTTGTGCTACGCTGAAGGACAAGATGCTGAGGTTAAGACTCTGTTGAAAGAGGAAGAAAACATGTTACAGTTATTTATAAAGAATACTTAGAAGTAGAGCTAAGAGAAATGAGGAACTGATTACAACTCAACCTTCATTCAACAACTAGAGGTCAAATGTGAACATCATTTTAGAACAAGACACAATAACATGTAAAATAATCAAGAAAAATTATATTTGAACAAGTTGAAAATATTGATTGATGAGGATGTGGAGTGTGTTTGTGTGTGTGTGTGTGTGTGTGTGTGTGTGTGTGTGTGTGTGTGTGTGTGTGTGTGTGTGTGTGTGTGTGTGTATAGGTTTGTACAGAGGTATGCCTATATGTGTATAAATATATATACCTGATATGTATAAGCCTTCTTTATTTCATTTTTTCCTAATTTATCCCAACTTTACTACTATTATAACCTTTTGACTATAACATGTATACAAATCCTGCTGTGAGATTAGTCGTTTAATCGTATATATTCTTTAGGTGATAGTAGGCTGATTTAGTAACTGTTTTAATGTGACTGTTGAAACTCAGGTCAGAGTCCATGACTATACCTAGATTTCTGGCTTTATCTGTTGTTTTGAACATTGCAGACTGAAGCTCAGCGCTAACTTTTATACGTTCTGCCTTGGCTCCAAAAAACAGGTAAATGTTTCCTCTTCAATGTTTCACTTCCTTCTGTTTCCATCCAGGTCAGTCTCCCTCTGGTTTAAAGCAGCAGAAGAAAAGCATGAGCAAACGTTAGTGAGTTATTTCTCAGTAAGGGACCTGAGTTGTTGTTTTGAGTTTGTTTTTCGACACATGTAGCTTCTTATTGGCCTTTTTACTGCCATCCAATTTGTGTTAAAGTCCTTGCTGAAATGACAGGAGGCGTAATGGGTCAAACTTGGTAATGTGACTAAACTGCTATTTTTAAATCCAGGATGAAGACTCACACTGCACTGTGACTTTTATTTAAGTTTTGTATACCTGTCTTCTTCTATATAAACATGTTTATTTTATTCTGTTTGCTTTTTAATGACTGTTTTAAATGGCATCATATAATGTGTTGCTGATTCACTATTTCTGAATGCTCTTAATGTTTTAAAGCACTCTGAATAGCCTTGTGTTGAAAGGTGCTATATGAATAAACTGGCTTTGTTGAATACTCTATGCTGATTGGACAATTTTAAACATTCTGAGGTCTGCTCTTTTTTTGCTTTGGTCGCTCTGATCAAGGGACTCAGTGCCGTCAAATCAATTCGTCGATGGAAGTCCGGTCAATTTAACGTCAGCAATGGACAAAAAGTACATGTTTTCCTCCGTCAGAAAATGTTTGAATTAAGCATTACGGCGTTTTGAAGCCGTATAACGTCTAAGGTTTGAACATATATGTCTACACAAATAGATAGGAATTAATGAAAAGATGACTCAACAGCACATGCTGCTGACTGATAGCTGGCTGACCTTCAGACCAGGTCCTCCTGCTCCTCTGGTTCTTCATCCTGTTCTGCAGAGACCATGTTCAGGTCTGAGAGGTTAGTATAATCAGGACCAGATTCCAACTGAAGGGTAGAGACAAGAACATATGAACGTTCAAGTCCTTTGGATACAATTACACCTTTTAATAAAGGAAAGATTGTTTTATATATTTCTCTTTTGATATGAATGACAGGAGGATTAATACATATTGGTAATTGTATATCAAGAAGCAAGGCATATTTACATTCTCCTTGTGAACACAATTATTAACAATTCTGTAATATCACTTTGCTGGAGTTGGATCTGTCACTGTCTCACCTCCACAGTCTCTATGGGTTCATTCGCTTCAGAGGTGGAGCTCACAGTCTTCTTCTTCCTGAATTGTGTTCAAACATAGTCAGATAAATAAGTAAAAGTGTTACTCTAAGTACCCCAAATGATAAATGTCAATGCGGAAGTTTAAAAGTCTCACCTCATCCAGAGACAGACAAGGAGCAGAGGAATCAGCACCAGAACCACCACAGAGAACCTGGTGATGTTCACGGTCATTGGGGATGTATCTAGAAAAGGAGGTAAACAGTTGTCAGATACTTTAACTGTGAGTGGGATCCAGGAACCCCTCAACAAACACACGCCTGTTTGCTATCCTGGCTCCACACTGGTAGAAGGAGTTCCCCATTGCTATCAGAACAGCAGAAAGTCTACACATCGTGCATTATAGACTGAAAACCAAATCTGTGTCCACTGAACCTAGGACATTACATTCTTTCAACTTCCCATTTCGGTCACCTTTTTACTTCCTGGCTTTGTGTTTTCCCGCCTGTGTGTTTGTCCGCCCCATCCTGATTATTTAACCTGCTACCCTTGTGTTTTTGAAGAAGATTCAACATTCTGTTAGTATTTAAGTCCTGGTCTCCTGTTAGTCTTTGTCAGATCCTTGTATGTTGCTATATCCTCAGGGTTGATTGCACTTATAGTAAGTTGCTTTAGTGTGAGCTAAACGTAATGAAATATAAAGAAAATATTTCTAACAGTTTCCCTCGATTCAATCTCTAGTTAAACTCACTCAGTGTTGACATGTATGGATGTGGAGTTTATCTTGTCCTATTTAATCTCTACTAATTTAAGTAACAAATTGGTTATGGCTTTGTGAAGCTGTATTTTAGACTTTGAAGATGGCCGGACAAATGGATGTTTAAGGTTTAAATCTGGGTCCAAAAGCTGCATTAAAACTGCTAAAATCTCCTAAAGCTTCAGCAGAAGGAGGTGAATTTGAAGGAGGGAGTGTTACAGAAATTAAGATCAGTAAACGTTGCCCATCCAGGTACTGGGCGCATTTAAGCTTTAAATAAACAGTTTCACTCACCTTTTACATTAATAAAGACTTTTTCAGATGTCCTTCTCCCCTGCTCATTCTCAGCTGAACAGAAATACTCTCCAGAGTCAGAGGACTGGATGGAGCTGAAGAAAAGCTGTGGTCCTTTATTCAGAGATGTAACGTTTCCACTCTTCTTGTACCAGGTGTAGTTAGCTCCTGTCTTTTCATCACTGCTACAGGTCAGAGTCACTGAACTGCCCTCGATAATATCACCAGAGGGACTCATCAACACAAAGGGAAGCTTTGGACCATCTGGAGGAGATCATATGAACAATAGTGAATGTTACTCATACACTTACAAACACCAATAGTACAAACTAAATCCATGTGTTATACTTTTGCAATATTGCAGTTTTCCTCTTCATTCTCTTTGCTGTCACATATTTAAGCTTATCTTAGCATTACCACAGCCAAGCGTTGATCACTGGAATCAGCATGAAAGCAACAGCAGTGTGTTAATTAAGCCTGTATGCATGTTTACAAGATCACTCATAAAAAAAAGCAATGCTCCATTGCGCTAATAGTGGTCCAAATCTCCACAAAGTGCCTTTAAATGTTGCTTTTACTGTACATAGCTGTGAGAGATAATAAGGACATTATCCCTAAATATTGAACAGATTTTAGGATATTTGTACTTCGCCAGATAACATTTAGTTTGTGATAAAGTGGAGTAAAACTCACACACTGGGCGAGAGCGGTAACCGTCATAGACACAGGAATAATTGTTTGCAGAATCAACGTATTCTCCGTGAGAAGCAGATGTTTCTCCCTGAATCTTCGTTTCATTCTTGTACCAAACGAATGTAGGATGACCAGTAAGAAGACAGCTGCTGAGACAAACCAGCTTTTGACCAGAGGAAGACTTGATCACCTGCACCTCTAATTCTCGTTCTGTGAAAAAGAGACAGGGATTCTTTTCTTTAGATCATTGAATAAATCATATTAACACTTTTCTAAAGACACTGTCTTATCTAAACATGGTCTAAAACTTGCACAAAAGCACTCTTAATAATATATTTCCCTGACAAATACATATATTTTAACAACAAATGTAATTCTGCTACATTAACAACATTATCAGTGTGTGTTGATCAGTACCTGTGACAGTCAGAGTTGTACCAGGTAAATCACTCCCCCATTCAAAGCCTGTTGTTTTGAATTTGAAGCGATACTGAGCTGAATCTGAGTCTCTCAGGTCAGAGATCCTCAGACTGGAGCGTCCTCTCTCTGTTTCAAGGATCTGAACACGACCTGCATACTGGGAGTCTTCACTAAGGTCCTGATCACTACGCTCAGGTCTGAACCAGAATTTAGATTTAACATCGTTTTCATAACTGCTGTACGTGCAGGAAATGTCCACTGAGGATCCTTTGAAGGCACAGATGCTTCTTTCACTGTAAGCCACTGTATTGCAGTATTGACCTTTAACACCTGAAAAATGAAATATCTTTGGTTAATTATTATGAAAATGTAATTGCCTTAACTCAAGGCTGAATGTATTGCTGTGGACAGTGTCTCCCTTTTATGTAATAAGGTATGGCATCATGTTGGTGGAAGACTGTAAGTGAACTCACACACTGAAGGAGAGGGGGAATTCTCATATCCTTTAACAGCACAGGCAAAGCTTTCTTCAGGATATAAATAGTCATCAAAAGAATCTCCTTGTTTTGGCGATTTCAGTCCATTCTTGTACCAGATGTAGGAAGGATGAGAAGTTGGAAGACAACTGCTTAGACACTCCAGGGTTGCATATATATAGCCTGTGAAGCGATATATTTTGCTCACCTTCACCTGGAAACCTGGATTTGTAAGGAACAAACATGTTAAACTGAACTGTCATTGTACGTGTAGTAGATGCACTGACATTCACTGCATTGTTGACCAAATGTTGAGCGAACTTACATAGTTACAAACAAAGTGTTACCTGTGACAGACAGAGTGACTGGTTCACTAGCATAAAAGTCTTGGTTTGTTTTGATCCTGAACCTGTACTCAGCTGAGTCGCTCTCTCTCAGGTTTCTGATTCTCAGAGTGCATCTGTTGTTTTCACAGAGATCCTCTACACGACCTGCATACTCTGAGACTGTGGTCAGATCTACAGGTTCACCACCTTTCAGTTTAGTAAACCAGAATGTTTTCTCAACTGTGTTTTCACCATCATCCCATGTAGATGGGTATGTGTAGCTGCATCTTATCTCCACTGTTGATCCTATCACTGCACAGATCTCAGTAGAAGAGAAAGTCACTCCCCAGCCATCCTGACCCTGAACCACTGTAACACAGAGCACATCAGAAACATTCATCAGACTCGTCAGTAGGCAGACTTTCTTAGCTTCATCAAACACATCTTTTTACTATTTTATATTATATTAATTTACATAGACGGGAATGTTCTGATGTTTGTTTCTAACTGGTTTTATACTTTTAAAAAGATTTAGTGCTGTTTCCAGTGAACAGAGGCATTGAAAAAAGATTTAGTGTTGACGTAGGACATCATGCTGCAGTGTATTTAACCTTTAACGCATTATTTACTTGATAAATATTAAGATAAATACTTAGATTTTGAACCTTAGAAAAAGATGAGAATAACATATTAGAGGCTGTGGATCAGAACAAAGAGTCTTCTTTCCTGGCTTGCTTTTCTCTCAGTGATCAGGCTGCTGCAGGGCGTGAATGGAAACTTCAAAGAAAAGCAGAACATTGAGGCGTGTGATATTAAGATAACAAATGACTGACAGAGAGGTTATTTTTAAGTATTGTACTCCTAATTGCTTGCAAAAGTCGACACACATATTGCATGTTGCACCTAGGTCTCCTCATTGTCAGGTAAAAGACAGCATCTGACTTCTCTGCAGAAATTAGATATTTATCAAAGCTACAATATCCACTAAACCACATGAGTATGTATTTAAAGTCATGTTTCTAAATGACTCTTAACATAAATCCAATGTTCAGTCTTGTTTTTGTCAGTAAAGTTGTTTTTTTTGCCATAAAAGCAAAACAATACTCTAAAACGGAAAAAGACTCGCTAAAGTTAAGTGTTGAGGACTGCAGGACGACAGAGGAAGTTCAACAGAGCGATGAATTCTAATTTGCAATTATTCAAAGCATGTTTTGTTTGCTAATGCAATTATGTACAGTCATCATTTCTATCCACACAGACAAACACTCAGTTTTTCACTCTGAGGTGCATTAACTGACTTACAATATAAATGTAGATGTACTGTACCTTGCACAGAGAGAAGGAAGACCACCAATCCACTCGCTGCTGCTTTTAAACTCATAGCTGCTCCTCACGTCTCTGTTAGATTTGCAGGTAGATCACACATGAGAAATACTCTATCAGTATATCACCAAAAACATCTCTACAGAAATAAGGAGGATGTGGTCTTTGAAGACAGTGTGTTCCTTTTGCGGCTGGTACAGTTCTGCTGTTTAAAACCAGCCTGGTTTCCTTCCTCTTTACATTATTAATATATATGAGCACATGAATTACTGTAAATCCCCAAATAAAAATTAAGTTAATGGAAATGACAAGCATTTTGATCTCTTTTTACCTTATATTACAAGTCAGGATCAGTGTATTTAAAACCCAGGTACAAAAGATATTCCAGCCATAAACATGCAGCCAGACGGCCATTGTAGTCTGAGTGTACGTGTAAAGTAAAAGACAACCACATTTTCTTTATTAGTACATCATGGCTTTCTAAATGTTAACATTAAGGCGGTAGACAGAGTGCACGTTGTAGAGAGAATGTTTGAGAGCAGACGTTTGGATGTGGTTTGCGTCTATACTATACATCATCAGAGCTTCCTGTTAGAGTTTCAGAAAGACTTGTGGTTGTGGTTTTAGAAAAGGAACGGCTGAGGTGGGAGGTCACAGCTGAGGTGGGAGGTCACAGCTGAGGTGGGAGGTGGGAGGTCACAGCTGAGGTGGGAGGTCACGGCTGAGGTGGGAGGTCACAGCTGAGGTGGGACGTGTACTCTAACAACTCACCTGCTACCATCATTACTACAGACAAGACGTGTCCCTTGAGAACAACGCCATAAAAATAGTTGCATCGTTGTATAGATACTGAGATAAAACGACTGAATAAGGAGAAAGAAAGAAGTTGCAAAGTGAGAAACGTACTATCTGTCAACATGACACATCCTTGTTGATAGATGATCCAGTAGTATTAAACAAACCACCTGATAAAAATGTGCTCTGTGGGGTTACTCAACAGTAGAGCTTAAAGGTCACCTGTCATGCAAAATGCACGTTTTGATGTCTTTTATACATAAATATGTGCCGCGGCGCTGGTGTGTCAGGAGACTCACAAAGTGTCTGAAAATACAACCCCCTCTCTTTTCCTCCTTACCCACATCTCTAAAAACGGGGGTACAACGGAGCTGATCCAGATTTTCTGCGGTCATGACGACATTACTCAAATGTGCCCACGGCCCTATCAGAAACGTCGCTATCAGAAACAATGCGCGACCTGTTTTGGGAATATAATATGGACTTTAGCATCGCTAACACTCAGAGCTAACCTGTACTGGAGAGAGCATGTGTAAAGAAGCAGGATGTTAAAGGAACTCACCTTGTGGTAAACCTGAGAGAGAAAAAGCATTTGAGCTCCATACTGTTTCAGAAATAATCTTTGATGTGGTTTGGAACATAATATGGCGTTAAATCACGGCAGCATTTAGCTGAGAATCTGGGTAGAACTCTCCTGCATGAGCTCTCCTCTCTTTATTTTTATTTTTTTTTAAACTACAGACACAGAATCAGCACTTTAGTAACAGGGCTGAAATAGAGGGATATGAGACTAGAATGGGTGATCTGTTTTGGTATGTTGAGCAAAACACTTCATAGACACGTTATTATATCTGAGACCTATAATATATATGCCTAAAAATTGTATAACAGTAGACCTTTAAAGCTACATTTTTACTCCACTACATTTATTTATCAGTTTTAGCTACTATTTACATATAAACACTTAATATGACATGATACCGTACTGTGAAATAATGGGGATAAAAACCCAATTATAATATTCTAAAATACTTTGCTAATTCAATCCTGTTAAAGGACAATTCTGCAATATGAGTACTTTTAGTTTGATATTTGAATTACAATTGACTGATTCTTCTGTACTTCTACTCAAGTCACATTTTCAATTCCTAACTTTAACTTGTGATCAAGTTCATAGTATTTCTAGTTTTTCTTAAGTAGAGGATCTGAGTACTTCTCCCAACACTGCTTTGTTTCAAAGGTAAGACATCAGTAGAACAAATGTTTAATTATGTGGTTATTCTAATAGGGACTTGAAGGACTAAACCAGAGTTTATTAGACTAACTAGTCTGTTTGTTGTTGTAACACCTACTGGTCACCAGCAGAGGTCAATAATATTCACATTTTACTACACGCCTCATTGGGACCTGGAGATAACTGAGACTAATGCTGGTTGGTAGAGTCTGACACTTTGGGGGTTACCAGTGAAAAGGTTTGATGGTTTATAAATAAATACACTTTAAAAAGGTTTTTCCTTTAACTTCTTTATTTCACAAATGTGTTTTTGTATTTGAAACACATAGGCAATACAATGGACTAATGATAACACAACAGCTAAGTGCTCTTTGAGAGAAAAGACACTGCACACTCGAAAGGGCAAAGCAGATGGATTAGACATACTCTATACAACTCAATATGAAAACATAAATGTATAATATGGACAATGTGACAAAGGTTTGGTCAAAAGGACTGCAAAAGTATTTACAAATACTCATTCAGAATGAAAAGACAATTCACAACTTAAAAAATACTTTATCAATTTAAAAAAGAGAAAGCAACCAAGAGCATACTCCTTTATAGATCTATGACTAAACATATTTCATAAGGACAAATAATAATAATATTTCCAAAAACACATAAAATAAGGCTTGTGCTACGCTGAAGGACAAGATGCTGAGGTTAAGACTCTGTTGAAAGAGGAAGAAAACATGTTACAGTTATTTATAAAGAATACTTAGAAGTAGAGCTAAGAGAAATGAGGAACTGATTACAACTCAACCTTCATTCAACAACTAGAGGTCAAATGTGAGCATCATTTTAGAACAAGACACAATAACATGTAAAAAAAGACGAATCAAGAAAGATAGTATTTGAAAATATTGATTAAATATTGGCCGTGTTTGTGTGTGTGTAGGTTTGTACAGATGTATGCGTATATGTGTATACGTATATTTAAATATACGTATACACCTTCTTTATAAAAACATAATCTAATTTCTTCTCCTTTTTTTGTCTTCATTATTTTATATTTTCCCAACTTTACTACTATTATAACCTTTTGACTATAACATGTATACACAATGAAGGAATGCTATAAATATGATAGGCATTCAGGATGATGGTGGTTAGCACATGCACATTACTGTGGTTAATTGTGTTTATATTTACAGTATAACAAGTTGCAATCTACTCATGCCTGTACATCTCCTGCTGTCTGTGACTGCTGACTCCTACCTGCCACTAACAATGAAACTCTCATATTTGAAGGTAAATGTTTCCTCTTCAATGCTTCACTTCCTTCTGTTTCCATCCAGGTCAGTCTCCCTCTGGTTTAAAGCAGCAGAAGAAAAACATGAGCAAACGTTAGTGAGTTATTTCTCAGTAATGGACCTGAGTAGTTGTTTTGAGTTTGTTTTACGACACATGTAGCTTCTTATTGGCCTTTTTACTGCCATTCAATTTGTGTTAAAGTCCTTGCTGAAATTACAGGAGGCGTATTGGGTCAAACTTGGTAATGTGACTAAACTGCTATTTTTAAATCCAGGGTGAAGACTCACACTGCACTGTAACTTGTATTTATGTTTTGTATACCTTGTTCTATATAAGCATGTTTATTTTATTCTCTTTGCTTTTTAATGACCGTTTTAAATGGCATTATATAATGTGTTGCTGATGCACTATTTCTGAATGCTCTTAATGTTTTTAATTTTTGTAAAGCACTCTGAATAGCCTTTTGTTGAAAGGTGCTATATGAATAAACTGGCTTTGTTGAATACTCTATGCTGATTGGACAATTTTAAACATTCTGAGGTCTGCTCTTTTTTGCTTTGGGCGCTCTGATCAAGGGACTATGTGCCGTCATATCAATCCGCCGATGAAAGTCCGGTCAATTTAACGTCAGCAATGGACAAAAAGTACATGTTTTCCTCTGTCAGAAAACGTTGGTATTAAAGGTAGGGTAGGTAAGTTTGAGAAACCGGCTCGAGATACACTTTTTGTTATATTCCATGGAATGCTCTTAACATCCCGATAGCAATGAATATCTTAAGTGCTTTGACAAAAAATCCATAAAAAAATGTCATCTGTGGAAGCTGTAGTACTGTAAAAAGCACGACCAATCATTTTAGCCGGCACGGCTAAAATAACTGGATGGCCTACCTGCCTGTCAGCCTTCCATCTGTGCACAAACTTATCTCGTGCCCTCATTGGTCATGTGCACGTTCGTGTGTGTTGGAGGAGGGGCTCTGTAAGGAAGTGGCAGATTTTCTCCGGTTGTGTATTTTCAAATTCTAGCGATCTCGAGCCGGTTTCTCAAACTTACCTACCCTACCTTTAAGCATTAAGGCGTTTTGAAAGACCTATAACGTCTAAGGTTTGAACATACTGTATGTGTCTACACAAATAGATAGGAATTAACTAAAAGATGACTCAACACCACATGCTGCTGACTGATAGCTGGCTGACCTTCAGACCAGGTCCTCCTGATCCTCTGGTTCTTCTGTCTGTTCTGCAGAGACCATGTTCAGGTCTGAGACGTTGATATAATCAGGACCAGACTCCAACTGAAGAGTAGAGACAAGAAAAGATGAACGTTCAAGTCATTTGGATACAATTACACCTTTGAATAAAAGAATGACTGTTTTATATATTTCTCTTTTGATACGAATGACAGGAGGATTAGTACATATTGGTAATTGTATATCAAGAAGCAAGGAATATTTACATTCTCCTTTTGAACACAATTATGAACAATTCTGTAATATCACTTTGCTGGAGTTCGATCTGTCACTGTCTCACCTCCACAGTCTCTATGGGTTCATTCGCTTCAGAGGTGGAGCTCACAGTCTTCTTCTTCCTGAATTGTGTTCAAACATAGTCAGATAAATAAGTAAAAGTGTTACTCTAAGTACCCCAAATGATAAATGTCAATGCGGAAGTTGAATAGTCTCACCTCATCCAGAGACAGACAAGGAGCAGAGGAATCAGCCCCAGAACCACCACAGAGAACCTGGTGATGTTCACGATGATTGGGGATGTATCTAGAAAAGGAGGTAAACAGTTGTCAGATACTTTAACTGTGAGTGGGATCCAGGAACCCCTCAACAAACACACGCCTGTTTGCTATCCTGGCTCCACACTGGTAGAAGGAGTTCCCCATTGCTATCAGAACAGCAGAAAGTTTACACATCGTGCGTCATAGACTGAAAACCAAATCTGTGTCCACTGAACCTAGGACATTACATTCTTTAAACTTCCCATTTCGGTCACCTTTTTACTTCCTGGCTTTGTGTTTTCCCGCCTGTGTGTTTGTCCGCCCCATCCTGATTATTTAACCTGCTACCCTTGTGTTTTTGAAGAAGATTCAACATTCTGTTAGTATTTAAGTCCTGGTCTCCTGTTAGTCTTTGTCAGATCCTTGTATTTTGCTATATCCTCAGGGTTGATTGCAGTTATTGTAAGTTGCTTTGGACAAAGTGTGAGCTAAACGTAATGAAATATAAAGAAAATATTTCTAACAGTTTCCCTCGATTCAATCTCTAGTTAAACTCACTGTATGTTGAAGTGATTTGCACATTTGTGTTGATATGTATGGAGTTTATCTTGTCCTATTTAATCTCTACTAATTTAAGTAACAAATTGGTTATGGCTTTGTGAAGCTGTATTTTAGACTTTGAAGATGTCCTGACAAATGGATGTTTTAAGGTTTAAATCTGGGTCCTAAAGCTGCATTAAAACTGCTAAAATCTCCTAAAGCTGCAGCAGCAGGAGGTGAATTTGAAGGAGGGACTGTTGTAGAAATTAAGATCAGTAAACGTTGCCCATCCAGGTACTGGGCACATTTAAAGTGGACCTATCATGCTATATTTAAATGATATATTGTAGGGCCATACCTATATAAGGTATATTTATACGTTTCTGTTTTCAAAATACCAAACAGATCATGCATTTTAGCCATGCCTCATTTCGCTCTATGTGCTGTTTGCTGTCTACGGGTCTGATTCTGCTGACCACGCCCCCCTGCAGGAGAGGGGAGCCGTGCTCTGATCAGCTGCTGGGCTGTCAGAAGAGGGGGAGAAAAAGAGATCTCCGTCCTCCGTGTTTTATTATATATATATATATATATATATATATATTATTTATGAGTCGTTATTCATTTGTTTTAAAGCTCAATAAATAACAAAGAAGACCTTTGACCGGCACTTTTTCAAATTTTGTCCGGAAGATTTCAACTTTAACGGACATCTTGACCGGCGAAAGAAACTGAAACTGAAACTCTGCCGCACAGTCCCCTCGTTCCTTGGAAGAGGCGGAGAGGTGGGTGTTTGTCATCTGCTGGTGGACTAACCGGAGAGAATTACAGTGCTTACAACGCTTGCCTCGGGGAGGGAGAAAAAAAGCCACAGCGGAGAATAAACAGAAGGGTAACCATGGTAACTATGGGCGGGAAGTCTTCTTCGCTGCTTTTGTGGCAGACTATAGCGCCACTTACAGGCCTGGCATATGTACTACAGCGTCTCCAGCGCTTTCGAGCGGCAATGGCCGGCCGTGGCCCAACCCCACATTCCCCTGATAAGTGGAGAGTTGGCCCAATAGCCGTAGCGCCACTTCTGTGACGTCATAGAAGTGTTCAAATCTGGATCAGTCTGTATCAGATCCGTTGCAGCCCCTTTTTTAGAGATTTGGGTATGGAGGAAAATAGAGAGGGTTGTGTTTTCTGACACTTGGTGAGTTCCCTGGAACACCGGGGACACATATTCATGTATAAAAGACGTACACAAGTGCATTTTGCATGATAGGTCCCCTTTAAGCTTTGAATAAACTATTTCACTCACATTTTACATGAATAAAGACTTTTTCAGATGCTCTCCTCCCCTGCTCGTTCTCAGCTGAACAGAAATACTCTCCAGAGTCAGAGGACTGGATGGAGCTGAAGAAAAGCTGTGGTCCTTTATTCAGAGATGTAACGTTTCCGCTCTCCTTGTACCAGGTGTAGTTAGCTCCTGTCTTTTCATCACTGCTACAGGTCAGAGTCACTGAACTGCCCTCCTTTATCTCAGCAGAGGGACTCACTGACACAGAGGGGAGCTTTGGACCATCTGGAGGAGATGTGATAACAAAGATTATTTCAAGATAAGAATGTCCTTATGGACCATTTTTGAAATGTTCCACCACCATAAGATCAACATAATTAACATCCACTGTCTCTATACTTAAACATTTTGTAGAGTTATTAGTTGATGATTTGTACTTACATAGGACATTTATGTGTAATGATGTAGAGTTGATCTGGCCGTACTAATTCTTAGACTCGCAGTGGTAGTTCCCTTTGTCCTCTAAGGTGATAGAGGCGAGTTGATAACTGTCTTTTGACCCCAAAGGCAGTGTTTGGTTGTCCTTGTACCAGGTGTAGTTAGCTGCTGGATTAGCGCCACCTTTACAGGTCAGCTGAAATGATTTGCCAATCTCTATCTCAGCAAATGTTTCAATAACAACTGCAATTTGTTATGGCTTTTCTTAGAAAGGCGCTGCATGTACTTTGCATGTTTTAACACCGCACCAGTGGCATTAAATGTGTCAACATGGTTTCAAGCTTGGTCAGTTAGGAGACTGACCTCCTGCGGTTTTATACACACGACTGGAAAGATATAAGAAAGACACATTTCCAAATGTACATTGAAATAATGAGTTGTTGAGTGGCCACGGTCAGGTTGAATATTCATCTATAGCACATCTAGAGTTTAAAATGGAAACACTAGTCCATAGCCCATTTTATGCCAGAGTCACAGTATTTGCATTTGTAGTATTAGTATACTGTATGCTTGGATATTTATCAGACATGACTGATTAACATAATGTGTTGCGCCCATTAGAATGGTTTATATGTTTTGTTATTTGAACACTAGATGGCGTAATGGGGCAACAGCATATAAGTGATCTCCAGGCACAGGTGCATTGATTGTGACCGGGAGAGCAATCGTTTTTTGAGCGTGTCTATCGTGTCTGTGAACACGCTGTTTTCTTTGAAAATAAAAGATATTGAAAGCTAAACTTCTGACACCATAATAAGGCATCCGACAGAGCTATCCTTAAATTCAGACCGGACTTTTACTGAAACCTAAGGTCAAGAGAGGATGAGAAGCACTCCTATGATTACTGATGTTACTGAGGCTTGCCACACTGCAGCTGCTCATTCTGACTTTCTTCTGCTAACAATATATTCAGCCTTTCTTCCATGTGGGCAGTACTGTGCATTGATCTTTCTTGGATTTACACTTTTGCCCAGTTATGGGAAAGTTCTGCTCCAGTTCTTGAGGAGAAATGTGTTAACAAAGATGACCCTGGGTGATGTTGTTTCTCATAGTACATGTTGTACAGGGTATTTATATCACACAATGTGAATAGCTCTGTGTAGATGCATTTTAGACTTTGAAGGTGGAGTGACAAATGGATGGGTAATTTTTTTATTGTGGGACTTTAAACCCAACAAAGCTTCTATAATCTCTTGAAGCTTCTCAGTGATTACACCAGACTGTGAATGTAAAGCAAGTAGATATAAGAACCTAACTACAATTACTCACAATGCACATCAATAGAGATGTCTTTAGATGCCTTCGTCCCCAGCTTGTTCCCAGCTGTACAGCAATACTGACCAGAGTCAGAGGAATTGATGGAGCTGAAGACATGCTTTTGTCTTTTTTTGAGAACATACATGTCTGCATTTATCTTCTTGTACCAGGTGTATTTAGCTGCTGGGTTAGCATCACTGCTACAGGTCAGAGTCACTAAACTGCCCTCCTTTATGTCATCTGAGGGACTCATGAACACAGAAGGAACCCTCAGAGCATCTGGAAGAGATGTGATAACAGAGATTATTGTTGACAATGTGTTGCTTACTAGATTAGCAAAATTGTTATTACAAGTTTAAACTCCTGAGTAAAGCTGCATTTTGGATTGAAGGTGGTCCTACAAACTGCATGTTTGATGATTTAAATCTGGGTCCCAAATCTGCATAATTAAAATGTCACCCTTAAACCACGATACATTGCACTAAGATATTCGTATCTTAACGGACAGTTGTTGAGTATCTCCTGAGAAATGCATAGTTCTCAATTGCTTCCCTGTACTGCACTAACCAATAACAAATCCTGACTTTATGATGAACCACATATTTGTTTGTATTTCCCTCTCCTCCAGTCAAATGGTGCACAGTACTGACTTGTTGGTTGTTACTGAGTATGTTACCACCAATAACACAAATATATAAACAATTGGTGGGTCATAAAAAAATATAACGGTGAAAGCAGATTATTTAAACAACCGTTAGATATTATGTAAATGAATTCATATCTACTGTAAATGATTATTCATGGGTATTTCTGAATTGTTATTAGTCATAATAAAGTAATGATTTGTCATTGGTTAAATGCCGTTTAGTGTATCACTTAATCAAGTCACAACTATGAATTGAGAAATGGAATTTAAGGATTTAGAGATAGCCTTGTAAAGTTAATACCAGTAAATATTAGTTAAATATAACAATATTTAACAGTCGTTTCTCAATTATGTCATCATTAGCAACTCTATAACATGTGATTAGAAGTTACTGCCAGTTCACTTTTCGTTACCCACTTGTTCCCTGGATCCCATGTAATGTAAAGCAAGCTGAGCTGAAGAAAGTAGTGATGATAAGTAACATCTTCTCTTGAAACAACTAGACAGATATAAGCTTGTTATCTTTAAATAAACTGTCTTACTCACATTTTACGTCAATAAGGATGTTTTCAGATGTGCTACTCCCCAGATCATTTGTAGCTGAACATAAATACTATCCAGATGGATGGGTCATGGTTTTAATCTGGGACCTAAAACTGCATAAAGCTTCTAAAATCTCCTAGAGTTGCTCACAGAATTGCAGCAGACTGTAAATTACATCGATAACCAATACTTACATTTCACATTAATAGAGATGTAATTAGATGTGCTCCTTCCCAGCTTGTTCTCAGCTCTACAGTAATACTGTCCAGAGTCAGAGGACTGGATGGATCTGAAGACAAATTGTGTTCCTTCACTGAGAAGAGGAACGTTTGCATGTCCATTCCTCTGGTACCAGGTGTATTTAGCTGCTGGGTTAGCATCACTGCTACAGGTCAGAGTCACTGGACGGCCCTCCTTTATCTCACCAGAGGGTTTTGACAAAGAAGGAATCCTCGGAGCATCTGGAGGAGATGTGTGAACAGTAAATATTAAGAATGTGTTTCTCACTGCATTAGCTCAAAGGGTATCTACATTATAGAACGATGAATGTAGCTGCATTTTGAGTCATTACAGAGCATTGAGGAATCTGGAATTAGCACAGGAAGAAGAAAACCTCAATATTGTTTAACTCAACAGATTTATTATAAATCAAATAGAGGTGGTGTTTGTTTCTTGGCTGCGTTTTACTCACATTGTACATTAAGAAAGATGTTTTCAGATGTCCTCCTCCCCAGATCATTCTCAGCTGAACAGTAATACTGTCCCGAGTCAGAGGACTGGATGGAGCTGAAGACAAACTGTGGTCCTTCAATAACAGGTTTAATGTTTGGACTTCCATTCCTCTTGTACCAGATGTAGTTAGCTGCTGGGTTAGCATCACTGCTACAGGTCAGAGTCACTGAACTGCCCTCCTTTATCTCAGCAGAGGGACTCACTGATACAGAGGGAGGCTTTGGAGCATCTGGAGATACATAAATAAATTATGGGTGTAAATTGCAATCAAGCAACATGTACATTCAAAGGATAAATAGTGTGTCCATATCCCAAGTATGTTTACATTGTAATGTAGATCCTGGATGTGTAACACGTCTGCTGCTGATGAGCAATTACAGCCAAAATCATGTGTTCAATCCAACCCGGTATCATGGCAAGACGTGAACATGTGACGATCTACCATGTTGGGAGACGTGAATATGTCACGGTTTCGTCCCTTCAAACGTGACAGTTACACGGTATTGTTAACATGGCCCAACCAGTGGAGAAATACCCGGAAGTGCCAAGCAAAGGGTCTACCGCGCCTATTGGTCGGTTTTTATTGTCAAAATAAGATGTTTTTAATTTATTGCCTGGCAACGCAATCGCACAACGTCACGTCCGTTAATTCCACATCCACACCTCCACACACATGGATTAACATCGATTTAATACATTAATGTAGCCTTTGTTTCTGCTAAAAGAGGTGTCGACCAGCGAGGGCAACAAGAAAATCGGCGAAATCGAGTATGACGATTAAAAAATAAATGAAAAACATCTAATTTTGACAATAAAAACCGACCAATAGGCGCGGTAGACCATTTGCTAGGCACTTCCGGGTATTTCTCCACTGGTTGGGCCATGTTAACAATACCGTGTAACTGTCACATTTGAAGGGACGAAACCGTGACATATTCACGTCTCCCAGCATTGTAGATCGTCACATGTTCACGTCTTGCCGTGATACCGGGTTGGTTTAATCATTTTAAACCTGAACATCTTCATCTTGCTAGCAGACTAACTCTAACCCTGCATGAAGACTGTGATGTTAATCACTGTGCACTAAGTATTCTTGGAGATTAGGATAATACACGTCATATTGAGCTGTACATCTCTCTGTATGATAAACTGTTTTTTTTAATTTGTAATACTGTTTTTTCACCTCCTTAATGTTTATTTTAAAGTGGGCCCACATCATGATTAAATTCTGTTGCAGCTGCCGACTGAGGTTTTTAGTGAGAATCCAGTTTTTTCATCTTGCTCCTGTAACTTGGAATAACATGAAGAACAATATAAAGCTAACCTTATTTATGATAGATATTTTGTGATGTTTCTTGCTGCCTACCGGATTTTCTGTTATTGTTGATATTTTGTATTTTTACCTCTGAAATGTTGTAAATGATGTCTCTACCAAAATCTATTTCATCTGTATGTTGTTGACCTAGAAAGCTTTTTGTTTCTATAAATAATACTGCTGCGTCTGCATTAAGAATCAGAAGACTATTGTAAGGTTTCTATCTGAAATGGTCAATGTATTGAAATGTCAGTGTTTGTGTATGAGTGAACTCACACACTATAGGAGAAGAGAAGGCTTCATGACCTTCCAGAGCACAAGAGATAGTGTCTGTGAGTTTAATCCAGCCTTTATAGGAAGATATCCATGTTGTCGTGATTTTCTCTCCGTTCTTGACCCAGATGTAGGAAACACCAGCTGGACTGCAGCTGCTGTGACACTTCAGCTCTGCATAGGTGTAAGGCTGCTGGTCAGTTGCTCTGATCACCTGCACCTGCAGAGCTGGATATGAGGAAAATAAACAATATTATATCACTCGGTCTAAAATGAATCTGATGATAAATATATATACCCATTAACACAACAGTCTACAGTTGGTGAACAAATATGATAACTCATCCAACAGTAATTACAAAAACTCAACTTCCAGTATGTTTTCATTGTAATGTGTTGGTGTAAACAGTATACATCAGTTTGTGTTGATCAGTACCTGTGACAGTCAGAGTTGTTCCAGGTAAATCACTCCTCCATTCAAAGCTTGGTGTTTTGAATTTGAAGAGATACTGAGCTGAATCTGAGTCTCTCAGGTCAGAGATCCTCAGAGTGGAGCGTCCTCTCTCTGTTTCAAGGATCTGAGCACGACCTGCATACTGGGAGTCTTCACTACGGTCCTCAGGTCGAGAGGGATTCTGTCCCTGATGACGACGCTGAGGACTGAACCATAATTTAGATTTAATACAGTCATTACTGCTGTACATGCAGGAAATGTCCACTGATGATCCTTTGGGGGCGCAGATACTTCGTTTAGTATAAGTCAGTGTGTTGCTGTCTCGACCAGTGACACCTGAAACATTCAAACTCATTTTTACACCATTGTTTTACCAGAGTTGATGAGAAGTCACAAACCCATACAGTTAGCTAAGGCTTCCACTAGATGGTGTTATGTTAGAATAAGGTAGTGAAGTGAACTCACACACTGAAGGGGAGAGAGAGTCCTCATATCCTTTCAAAGCACAGGAATAGCTGTCTAGATAATTAAAGTCGACCTGAAGAGAAGATGTTCCTGACAGAGTGTTTCCTCCGTTCTTGTACCAGACGTAATCATTATCAGGTAAATCACAACTGCTCTGACACTTCAGGTTTGCCCTGCTATAATCTTTGCTTTCCACCTGCACCGAGAGATCTGTATTTGTGAAGAAGGAACAAGAAGGTTATTAAAGAATAAACTCTCAACATTCATGTATATGAAAACACATCACATTTATATTATTGTTTTCTTAAAGTTGAACATTTGGAACTGATTGGTGTTACCTTTGACAGACAAAGTGACTCCAGGTGAACCATTATATTTTCCATCTGCTTGGTTTGTTTCAAATCTGAACATGTACTCAGCTGAGTCTCTCTCTCTCAGGTTTCTGATTCTCAGAGTGCAGATGTTGTTTTCACAGAGATCCTCTACACGACCTGCATACTCTGGGTCTGTGGTCAGATCTACAGGTTCACCATCTTTCTGTTTAGTGAACCAGAATGTTTTCATAACTGTGTTAACTCCGCCTCTCCATGTAGATGAGTATGTGTAGTTGCATCTTATCTCCACTGTTGATCCTTTCACTGCACAGATCTCAGTAGAAGAGAAAGTCACTCCCCAGTCATTCTGACCCTGAACCACTGTAACACAGAGCACATCAGAAACTAGAATCAGAGTCATAACAACATCAAATACCAGACTTTCATTTGTAGTGTTGATGTTTCAGTCCACATTTCTCGAAACTACTTATCCACATGCGCCTTGGGCAAACTCAGCAAAACTCAGTATTAAATGTTTTTCTTACATTGTTCATATTTTAATAATTTACCTTAATGGGTTAAATATATTGTGATTATAGTTTTAGTGTTTTAGGGTCTGAGGTATAGAGTTATGAGTAAGTGATGTTAGTGCACTGAGTCAGGACAACATGCACCCTGTGTTGAACCTGTAAACTTTAACACATTATTTCTTAGACAACATTTCAAATAAATAAAAACATATTAGAGGGTGTGGTACATAAAATAGAGTTTTCTTTGCTATGTTGAGTATTTCTCTGTGGAAAGGCTGCTTCAGGGTTTGAATGGAAACTTTAAAGAAAAGCAGAACTTTGACGCGTTTAAAACTAAGATAACAAATTACTGAAAGAGAGTTTATTTTTAAGCATTGGACTTCTAATTGCTTTCAAAAGTAGACACCAACCCACAAACATTGGATTACTTCCTGTATGCTGCACCTGCTATATCTCTCCTCATTGACAGAAGGAAAGCATCATCTCTGCAGAAATGTCTAGATATTTATCAAAGCTACAACAGCAACTGAACAACATGTATTTAAAGTTATGTTGAGGACTGCAGGACGATAGAGGAAGTTCAACACAGCGATGAATTGGCAATTATTTAAAGCATGAGTAGTTTGTTAATGTAGGTACTGTATGTACAGTCATTATTTCCATCCATACAGACATAGTGTTACCATGCTAAATGGTGCTGTATTTCTAAAGTGTTTAAACTATCATACAATATAAATGTAGATGTACAGTACGTCTCACAGAGAGGAGGAAGACAACAAATCCACTCGCTGCTGCAGTTCAACTCATAGCTGCTGCTTTTATTTTTTCACCTCCTTAAATTATCTTGTGGGCTCTCATCATGATTAAATTACGTTGCAGGTGCTGGCTGTTTTTACTGAGCTTGCAAAAATCTAAATGTTCTCATCTTGCACCTGCAACCTTGAATGACATTTAGAACAATTTAAAGCTAACCTCATTTATGATATCTTTCTTTGTGAGGTGTCTTGGTGCCTAGAGGATTTACTGTTATTGTTGATATTTAGTTTTGTTTGTAACTCTTCTTTATTCAAAATGAGGTCTCCACCAAAATCTATGTCTTCTGTGTGTCTCTTTTCCTAAAATGGCTTATTTACTGGATGTAGTTAAGCTTTCTTTTTCGATATATATAACTGCGGCATCTGCATTGAGATTCAGAAGACTCCTGTGAGGTTTTGTCTGAAATTGTCATTGTATGTAATGTCAGTGTGTGTGTATGAGTAAACTCACACACTGCAGGCGAGGGGAAGTCTTCATGTCCTTCAAAAGCACAAGAGATCCTGTCTGCGTGGTGAAGCAAGCCTTTATAGGAAGATATCGTTGTTGTGGGGATTTTCTCGTCGTTCTTGAACCAGACATACGAAACACCGGCTGGACTGCAGCTGCTGTGACACTTCAGCTCTGCTAAGGTATCAGACTGCTGGACCCAAGCTGTGATCACCTGCACCTGCAGAGCTGGATATGAGAAAAATAAACATTTGAAAAGACACAATATTATATCACTTGGTGCAGCGGTTAATTTGGGATTTGTTATGAAAGGGGTGGGGGGCTGATAGATGAAGAGAACAATCTTTTTAATAGTCACATTAAACTGTTTACATCTTAAAATATTGCAATATACACTCAATATATATTCAAAACTTTCCCTTTACTTCTCGAAGTGCCATTTTAAATTACCATTTCCTTGTAATCGAGCTAAAGGAAAGTGAAATGAAACTACAAGTGACTGAATACACCTTACCAAGCAGGATCATGGGGAAAGTGATAATCATAATTATATATCATAATTATTGTGAAATAAACATTAAGAAACGGCGCACTGCTCTGACTTCCATGTTGTGCCACAATTGTGCTAACTTAAAAACTAGGGATGCACCTTATTAGAAAAAACTGAAATTGCAATTCCACTTAATATTGCAATACTTAAGAATTACAGAAAACTTGTGAGGTTAGATTAATCTTGTAAAACGTGTATTGTATACAAATGTGAGTTCCAAACATCTCTAACGCTGGCTGGTGTATGGCTGTGTATATTTAATTTAATATGCAGCAATGTAAACTTTTGTTTCGTAAACATATTCATTGTTGAATAGCTGCGAGGCTGATGACGTGAGAGCGAGGACTGTATTTGAAGGTATAAAGTGTAGGTGTATTTTCATCAGTGTGTGTTGATCAGTACCTGTGACAGTCAGAGTTGTTCCAGGTAAATCACTCCTCCATTCAAAGCTTGATGTTTTGAATGTGAAGCGATACTGAGCTGAATCTGAGTCTCTCAGGTCAGAGATCCTCAGAGTGGAGCGTCCTCTCTCTGTTTCAAGGATCTGAACACGACCTGCATACTGGGAGTCTTCACTAAGGTCCTCAGGTTGAGAGGGATTCTGTCCCTGATGACTACGCTCAGGACTGAACCAGAACTTTGATGTAATACATTCATTACTGCTGTACGTGCAGGAAATGTCCACTGATGATCCTTTGGGGGCGCAGATACTTCCTTGAATGGAAGTCACCGTGTTGCTGTCTCGACCAGTGACACCTGAAACATTCAAACTGATTTTTAAACCATATTTTGACCAGAGTTGATGAGAAGTCACAAACCCATACAGTTAGCTATGGCTTCCACTAGATGGTGTTATGTTAGAATAAGGTAGTGAAGTGAACTCACACACTGAAGGGGAGAGAGAGTCCTCATATCCTTTCAAAGCACAGGAATAGCTGTCTAGAAAACTCAAGTCGACTTGAAGGGAAGAAGATGTTGCTGTTTGAATCTTTTCACCGTTCTTGTACCAGACGTAATCATTATCAGGTACAACACAACTGCTCTGACACTTCAGGTTTGCACTGCTAGGATCTTTGCTTTCCACCTGCACCGAGAGATCTGTATTTGTGAAGAAGGAACAGGAAGGTTATTTAAAAATAAACTCTCAACATTCATGTATATGAAAACACATCACATTTATATTATTGTTTTCTTAATGTTGAACATTTGGAAATGATTTGCATTAATACAAATGTTACCTGTGACAGACAAAGTGACTCCAGGTGAACCAACATATTTTCTTCCTGCTTGGTTTGTTATGATCCTGAACTTGTACTTCACAGAGTCGCTCTCTGTCAGGTTTCTGATTCTCAGAGTGCAGATGTTGTTTTCACAGAGATCCTCTACACGACCTGCATACTCTGAGTCTGTGGTCAGATCTACACGTTTACCATCTTTCTGTTTAGTGAACCAGAATGTTTTCTCAACTGTGGTAACACTGCTTTTTGGGTATGTGTAGCTGCATCTTATCTCCACTGTTGATCCTTTCACTGCACAGATCTCAGTAGAAGAGTAAGTCACTCCCCAGCCATCCTGACCCTGAACCACTGTAACACAGAGCACATCAGAAACATTCATCAGACTCATTAGACTTTCTTAGCTTCATCAAACACATCTTTTTACTATTTCATATTATATTAATTTACATAGACGGGAATGTTCTGATGTTTGTTTCTAACTGGGTTTATACTATAACAAAGTTGTAATGTTGTTTCCAGTGAACAGAGGCATCAAAAACATATATAATGTTGACGTAGGACATCATGCTGCAGTGTATTTAACCTTTAACGCATTATTTACCTGATAAATACTAAGATAAATACTTAGATTTCAAACCTTAGAAAAAGATAAGAATAACATATTAGAGGGTGTGGATCAGAACAAAGAGTCTTCTTTCCTGGCTTGCTTTTCTCTCAGTGATCCGGCTGCTGCAGGGCGTGAATGGAAACTTCAAAGAAAAGCAGAACATTGAGGCGTGTGATATTAAGATAACAAATGACTGACAGAGAGGTTATTTTTAAATTTGACTAATTGCTTGCGAAAGTCGACACAAATGTTGCATGTTGCACCTAGGTCTCCTCATTGTCAGGTTAAAGAAAGCATCTGGCTTCTCTGCAGAAATTAGATATTTATCAAAGCTACAATATCCACTAAACCACATGAGTATTTATGTAAAGTCATGTTTCTAAATGACTCTTAACATAAATCCAATGTTCAGTCTTGTTTTGTCAGATAAATATTACTATGTCCCCATCTTCATGCTGCAGTAACTTTGTGTATCCTTATGTTGGTGATGCCTGAAGTGTAGAGTTTTGAGAGGTCTTATCATTGAAGAAAGCTGCATATAGCACCTTGCGTTGATAGTGACTTACTGCACTAACTTGTTACTGTGATCGCCCCGGTTCCTTTTTTGCATGTCATACCCAGATCTCTCTTCCTGTTTCCAGTTAGTCTTTACACTTTTCACCGTCCAATGGAGGCAAAACATGAAGAAAATGCAAAAGCTACGATCATGTACATGCATGCAAACAGACGTTCATGCATTCACGTACACACACCTTCACAAACACTTGACCTGCAGGAACAAAACTGTGGCCGCCATAAAAGAGAGAAAGAGCGTTCAGTTGCAGGGCGCAGCTGAAAAATAGTAAAGTTGTTTTTTTGCCATAAAAGCAAAACAATAATCTAAAAGAAGCTTAAACTTTAGTGAGGTGATTATTATTGTGTTTTCATTTCTACAAGCAACCCCTCGTTCCTTTGACTCATTGTTCATTAAAAAAGTATTCATTAGTGATGCTTTTTATCCACGTTGCAACTCCTACCATAAGTTATCTCTTAAAACATTAAAGACATGACACAAGCTCATGTTATGTTTCTGATTTATTACATTATCAAATACTTCTAAATGTATTCTAAGGCGGAAAAAGACTCGCTAAAGTTAAGTGTTGAGGACTGCAGGACGACAGAGGAAGTTCAACAGAGCGATGAATTCAAATTTGCAATTATTCAAAGCATGTTTTGTTTGCTAATGCAATTATGTACAGTCATCATTTCTATCCACACAGACAAACACTCTGTTTTTCACTCTGAGGTGCATTAACTGACTTACAATATAAATGTAGATGTACTGTACCTTGCACAGAGAGAAGGAAGACCACCAATCCACTCGCTGCTGCTTTTAACCTCATAGCTGCTCCTCACGTCTCTGTTAGATTTGCAGGTAGATCACACATGAGAAATACTCTATCAGTATATCACCAAAAACATCTCTACAGAAATAAGGAGGATGTGGTCTTTGAAGGCAGTGTGTTTCTTCTGTGGCTGGTACAGTTCTGCTGTTTAAAACCAGCCTGGTTTCCTTCCTCTTTACATTATTAGTATATATGAGCACATGAATTACTGTAAATCCCCAAATAAAAATATAGTTAATGGAAATGACAAGCATTTTGATCTCTTTTTACCTTATATTACAAGTAAGGATCAGTGTATTTAAAACCCAGGTACAAAAGATATTCGTGCCATAAACATGCAGCCAGACGGCCATTGTAGTCTGAGTGTACGTGTAAAGTAAAAGACAACCACATTTTCTTTATTTGTACCTCATGGCTTTCTAAATGTTAACATTAAGGCGGTAGACAGAGTGCACGTTGTAGAGAGAATGTTTGAGAGCAGACGTTTGGATGTGGTTTGCGTCTGTACTATACATCATCAGAGCTTCCTGTTAGAGTTTCAGAAAGACTTGTGGTTGTGGTTTTAGAAAGGAACTGCTGAGGTGGGAGGTCACAGCTGAGGTGGGAGGTCACAGCTGAGGTGGGAGGTGGGAGGTCACAGCTGAGGTGGGAGGTCACAGCTGAGGTGGGAGGTCACGGCTGAGGTGCGAGGTCACGGCTGAGGTGGGAGGTCACGGCTGAGGTGGGAGGTCACGGCTGAGGTGGGAGGTCACGGCTGAGGTGGGAGGTCACGGCTGAGGTGGGAGGTCACAGCTGAGGTGGGAGGTCACGGCTGAGGTGGGAGGTCACGGCTGAGGTGGGAGGTCACAGCTGAGGTGGGACGTGTACTCTAACAACTCACCTGCTACCATCATTACTACAGACAGACGTGTCCCTTGAGAACAACGCCATAAAAATAGTTGCATCGTTGTATAGATACTGAGATAAAACGACTGAATAAGGAGAAAGAAAGAAGTTGCAAAGTGAGAAACGTACAATCTGTCAACATGACAAATCCTTGTTGATAGATGATCCAGTAGTATTAAACAAACCACCTGATAAAAATGTGCTCTGTGGGGTTACTCAACAGTAGAGCTTAAAGGTCACCTATCATGCAAAATGCACGTTTTGATGTCTTTTATACATAAATATGTGCCGCGGCGCTGGTGTGTCAGGAGACTCACAAAGTGTCTGAAAATACAACACTCTCTCTTTTCCTCCTTACCCACATCTCTAAAAACGGAGCTGATCCAGATTTTCTGCGGTCATGACGACATTACTCAAATGTGCCCACGGCCCTATCAGAAACGTTGCTATCAGAAACAATGCACGGCCTGTTTTGGGAATATAATATGGTCTTTGTTTACATTAGCATCGCTAACACTCAGAGCTAACCTGTACTGGAGAGAGCATGTGTAAAGAAGCAGGATGTTAAAGGAACTCACCTTGTGGTAAACCTGAGAGAGAAAAAGCATTTGAGCTCCATACTGTTTCAGAAATAATCTTTGATGTGGTTTGGAACATAATATGGCGTTAAATCACGGCAGCATTTAGCTGAGAATCTGAGTAGAACTCTCCTGCATGAGCTCTCCTCTCTTTATTTTTATTTTTTTTAAACTACAGACACAGAATCAGCACTTTAGTAACAGGACTGAAATAGAGGGGTTTGAGGCTAGAATGGGTGATCTGTTTTGGTATGTTGAGCAAAACACTTCATAGACATGTTATTATATCTGAGACCTATAATATATGCCTAACAATAGTATAACAGTAGACCTTTAAAGCTAAATGCTAACATCAGCATGCTAACATGCTCACAATGACAATGCTGCCATCCTGGTGGTTAGCACGCTTATTGTTTACCACGTTTAACAATTCCTTTTAACGTGTTAGCTGGCTGGCTAGCATTTGGTATAGGCCTATAGCAGTTACCACAATTAATAGCTTAAGATAAGTATAGGCCTGTTGTATATTGCATTACACACTGCTAACATGTGACAAAACAGGGACAATCTCGGCTAACAAATTGTTAAAATAACATTGTCCCAGCGGTGGAAAGTAATTAAATACATTTATTGAAGTATTGTACTCAAGCACTATGTTGAAATGATTTTCTTTATTTTGAGAGCATCCATTTTATGCTACCTAAACCTTTACTCCACTACATTTATTTATCAGTTTTAGCTTCCATTTACATATAAATACTTGATATGACGTGATACAGTACTGTGCTACTTGACGACAAGAGTACTTGAAAAATTGCTTAACATTGAAATAGGACACTGGGGATAAAAACCCAATTATAATATTCTAAAATACTTTGGTAATTCAATCCTGTTAAAGGACAATTCTGCAATATGAGTACTTTTAGTTTGATATTGGAATTACAATTGACTGATTCTTCTGTACTTCTACTCAAGTCACATTTTCAATTCCTAGCTTTAACTTGTGATCAAGTTCATAGTATTTCTACTTTTTCTTAAGTAGAGGATCTGAGTACTTCTCCCAACACTGCTTTGTTTCAAAGGTAAGACATTAGTAGAACAAATGTTTAATTATTTGGTGATTCTAATAGGGACTTGAAGGCCTAAACCACAGTTTGCTAGGCAAAACACATAGGCAATACAATGGACTAATGATAACACAACAGCTAAGTGCTCTTTGAGAGAAAAGACACTACACACTCGAAAGGGCAAAACAGATGGATAAGACATACTCTATATCACTCAATATGAAATGTATAATATGGACAATGTGACAAAGGTTTGGTCAAAAGGACTGCAAATGTATTTACAAATACTCATTCAGAATTAAAAGACAATTCACAACTTAAAAAATACTTTAACAATTTAAAAAAGAGAAAGCTACCAAGAGCATACCTCTTTACAAGATCTATGACTAAACATATTTCATAAGGACAAATAATAATAATATTTCCAAAAACACATAAAATAAGGCTTGTGCTACGCTGAAGGACAAGATGCTGAGGTTAAGACTCTGTTGAAAGAGGAAGAAAACATGTTACAGTTATTTATAAAGAATACTTAGAAGTAGAGCTAAGAGAAATGAGGAACTGATTACAACTCAACCTTCATTCAACAACTAGAGGTCAAATGTGAACATCATTTTAGAACCAGACACAATAACATATAAAATAATCAAGAAAAATTATATTTGAACAAGTTGAAAATATTGATTGATGAGGATGTGGAGTGTGTTTGTGTGTGTGTGTGTGTGTGTGTGTGTGTGTGTGTGTGTGTGTGTGTGTGTGTGTGTGTGTGTGTGTGTGTATAGGTTTGTACAGAGGTATGCCTATATGTGTATAAATATATATACCTGATATGTATAAGCCTTCTTTATTTCATTTTTTCCTAATTTATCCCAACTTTACTACTATTATAACCTTTTGACTATAACATGTATAGAAATCCTGCTGTGAGATTAGTCGTTTAATCGTATATATTCTTTAGGTGATAGTAGGCTGATTTAGTAACTGTTTTAATGTGACTGTTGAAACTCAGGTCAGAGTCCATGACTATACCTAGATTTCTGGCTTTATCTGTTGTTTTGAACATTGCAGACTGAAGCTCAGCGCTAACTTTATACGTTCTGCCTTGGCTCCAAAAAACAGGTAAATGTTTCCTCTTCAATGTTTCACTTCCTTCTGTTTCCATCCAGGTCAGTCTCCCTCTGGTTTAAAGCAGCAGAAGAAAAGCATGAGCAAACATTAGTGAGTTATTTCTCAGTAAGGGACCTGAGTTGTTGTTTTGAGTTTGTTTTTCGACACATGTAGCTTCTTATTGGCCTTTTTACTGCCATCCAATTTGTGTTAAAGTCCTTGCTGAAATGACAGGAGGCGTAATGGGTCAAACTTGGTAATGTGACTAAACTGCTATTTTTAAATCCAGGATGAAGACTCACACTGCACTGTGACTTTTATTTAAGTTTTGTATACCTGTCTTCTTCTATATAAACATGTTTATTTTATTCTGTTTGCTTTTTAATGACTGTTTTAAATGGCATCATATAATGTGTTGCTGATTCACTATTTCTGAATGCTCTTAATGTTTTAAAGCACTCTGAATAGCCTTGTGTTGAAAGGTGCTATATGAATAAACTGGCTTTGTTGAATACTCTATGCTGATTGGACAATTTTAAACATTCTGAGGTCTGCTCTTTTTTTGCTTTGGTCGCTCTGATCAAGGGACTCAGTGCCGTCAAATCAATTCGTCGATGGAAGTCCGGTCAATTTAACGTCAGCAATGGACAAAAAGTACATGTTTTCCTCCGTCAGAAAATGTTTGAATTAAGCATTACGGCGTTTTGAAGCCGTATAACGTCTAAGGTTTGAACATATATGTCTACACAAATAGATAGGAATTAATGAAAAGATGACTCAACAGCACATGCTGCTGACTGATAGCTGGCTGACCTTCAGACCAGGTCCTCCTGCTCCTCTGGTTCTTCTGTCTGTTCTGCAGAGACCATGTTCAGGTCTGAGAGGTTAGTATAATCAGGACCAGATTCCAACTGAAGGGTAGAGACAAGAACATATGAACGTTCAAGTCCTTTGGATACAATTACACCTTTTAATAAAGGAAAGATTGTTTTATATATTTCTCTTTTGATATGAATGACAGGAGGATTAATACATATTGGTAATTGTATATCAAGAAGCAAGGCATATTTACATTCTCCTTGTGAACACAATTATTAACAATTCTGTAATATCACTTTGCTGGAGTTGGATCTGTCACTGTCTCACCTCCACAGTCTCTATGGGTTCATTCGCTTCAGAGGTGGAGCTCACAGTCTTCTTCTTCCTGAATTGTGTTCAAACATAGTCAGATAAATAAGTAAAAGTGTTACTCTAAGTACCCCAAATGATAAATGTCAATGCGGAAGTTTAATAGTCTCACCTCATCCAGAGACAGACAAGGAGCAGAGGAATCAGCACCAGAACCACCACAGAGAACCTGGTGATGTTCACGGTCATTGGGGATGTATCTAGAAAAGGAGGTAAACAGTTGTCAGATACTTTAACTGTGAGTGGGATCCAGGAACCCCTCAACAAACACACGCCTGTTTGCTATCCTGGCTCCACACTGGTAGAAGGAGTTCCCCATTGCTATCAGAACAGCAGAAAGTCTACACATCGTGCATCATAGACTGAAAACCAAATCTGTGTCCACTGAACCTAGGACATTACATTCTTTAAACTTCCCATTTCGGTCACCTTTTTACTTCCTGGCTTTGTGTTTTCCCGCCTGTGTGTTTGTCCGCCCCATCCTGATTATTTAACCTGCTACCCTTGTGTTTTTGAAGAAGATTCAACATTCTGTTAGTATTTAAGTCCTGGTCTCCTGTTAGTCTTTGTCAGATCCTTGTATGTTGCTATATCCTCAGGGTTGATTGCACTTATAGTAAGTTGCTTTAGTGTGAGCTAAACGTAATGAAATATAAAGAAAATATTTCTAACAGTTTCCCTCGATTCAATCTCTAGTTAAACTCACTCAGTGTTGACATGTATGGATGTGGAGTTTATCTTGTCCTATTTAATCTCTACTAATTTAAGTAACAAATTGGTTATGGCTTTGTGAAGCTGTATTTTAGACTTTGAAGATGTCCGGACAAATGGATGTTTAAGGTTTAAATCTGGGTCCAAAAGCTGCATTAAAACTGCTAAAATCTCCTAAAGCTTCAGCAGAAGGAGGTGAATTTGAAGGAGGGAGTGTTACAGAAATTAAGATCAGTAAACGTTGCCCATCCAGGTACTGGGCGCATTTAAGCTTTAAATAAACAGTTTCACTCACCTTTTACATTAATAAAGACTTTTTCAGATGTCCTTCTCCCCTGCTCATTCTCAGCTGAACAGAAATACTCTCCAGAGTCAGAGGACTGGATGGAGCTGAAGAAAAGCTGTGGTCCTTTATTCAGAGATGTAACGTTTCCACTCTTCTTGTACCAGGTGTAGTTAGCTCCTGTCTTTTCATCACTGCTACAGGTCAGAGTCACTGAACTGCCCTCGATAATATCACCAGAGGGACTCATCAACACAAAGGGAAGCTTTGGACCATCTGGAGGAGATCATATGAACAATAGTGAGTGTTACTCATACACTTACAAACACCAATAGTACAAACTAAATCCATGTGTTATACTTTTGCAATATTGCAGTTTTCCTCTTCATTCTCTTTGCTGTCATATATTTAAGCTTCTTTAAGCATTACCACAGCCAAGCGTTGATCACTGGAATCAGCATGAAAGCAACAGCAGTGTGTTAATTAAGCCTGTATGCATGTTTACAAGATCACTCATAAAAAAAGCAATGCTCTATTGCGCTAATAGTGGTCCAAATCTCCACAAAGTGCCTTTAAATGTTGCTTTTACTGTACATAGCTGTGAGAGATAATAAGGACATTATCCCTAAATATTGAACAGATTTTAGGGTATTTGTACTTCGCCAGATGAGATTTAGTTTGTGATAAAGTGGAGTAAAACTCACACACTGGGCGAGAGCGGTAACCGTCATAGACGCAGGAATAATTGTTTGCAGAATCAACGTATTCTCCGGGAGAAGCAGATGTTTCTCCCTGAATCTTCGTTTCATTCTTGTACCAAACGAATGTAGGATGACCAGTAAGAAGACAGCTGCTGAGACAAACCAGTTTTTGACCAGAGGAAGACTTGATCACTTGCACCTCTAAATCTCGTTCTGTGAAGAAGAGACAGGGATTCTTTTTTTTAGATCATTGAATAAATCATATTAACACTTTCCTAAAGACACTGTCTTATCTAAACATGGTCTAAAACTTGCACAAAAGCACTCTTAATAATATATTTCCCTGACAAATACATATATTTTAACAACAAATGTAATTCTGCTACATTAACAACATTATCAGTGTGTGTTGATCAGTACCTGTGACAGTCAGAGTTGTACCAGGTAAATCACTCCCCCATTCAAAGCCTGTTGTTTTGAATTTGAAGCGATACTGAGCTGAATCTGAGTCTCTCAGGTCAGAGATCCTCAGAGTGGAGCGTCCTCTCTCTGTTTCAAGGATCTGAACACGACCTGAATACTGGGAGTCTTCACTAAGGTCCTGATCACTACGCTCAGGTCTGAACCAGAATTTAGATTTAACATCGTTTTCATAACTGCTGTACGTGCAGGAAATGTCCACTGAGGATCCTTTGAAGGCACAGATGCTTCTTTCACTGTAAGCCACTGTATTGCAGTATTGACCATTAACACCTGAAAAATGAAATATCTTTGGTTAATTATTATGAAAATGTAATTGCCTTAACTCAAGGCTGAATGTATTGATGTGGACAGTGTCTCCCTTTTATGTAATAAGGTATGGCATCATGTTGGTGGAAGACTGTAAGTGAACTCACACACTGAAGGAGAGGGGGAATTCTCATATCCTTTAACAGCACAGGCAAAGCTTTCTTCAGGATATAAATAGTCATCAAAAGAATCTCCTTGTTTTGGCGATTTCAGTCCATTCTTGTACCAGATGTAGGAAGGATGAGAAGTTGGAAGACAACTGCTTAGACACTCCAGGGTTGCATATATATAGCCTGTGAAGCGATATATTTTGCTCACCTTCACCTGGAAACCTGGATTTGTAAGGAACAAACATGTTAAACTGAACTGTCATTGTACGTGTAGTAGATGCACTGACATTCACTGCATTGTTGACCAAATGTTGAGCGAACTTACATAGTTACAAACAAAGTGTTACCTGTGACAGACAGAGTGACTGGTTCACTAGCATAAAAGTCTTGGTTTGTTTTGATCCTGAACCTGTACTCAGCTGAGTCGCTCTCTCTCAGGTTTCTGATTCTCAGAGTGCATCTGTTGTTTTCACAGAGATCCTCTACACGACCTGCATACTCTGAGACTGTGGTCAGATCTACAGGTTCACCACCTTTCAGTTTAGTAAACCAGAATGTTTTCTCAACTGTGTTTTCACCATCATCCCATGTAGATGGGTATGTGTAGCTGCATCTTATCTCCACTGTTGATCCTATCACTGCACAGATCTCAGTAGAAGAGAAAGTCACTCCCCAGCCATCCTGACCCTGAACCACTGTAACACAGAGCACATCAGAAACATTCATCAGACTCGTCAGTAGGCAGACTTTCTTAGCTTCATCAAACACATCTTTTTACTATTTTATATTATATTAATTTACATAGACGGGAATGTTCTGATGTTTGTTTCTAACTGGTTTTATACTTTTAAAAAGATTTAGTGCTGTTTCCAGTGAACAGAGGCATTGAAAAAAGATTTAGTGTTGACGTAGGACATCATGCTGCAGTGTATTTAACCTTTAACGCAGTATTTACTTGATAAATATTAAGATAAATACTTAGATTTTGAACCTTAGAAAAAGATGAGAATAACATATTAGAGGCTGTGGATCAGAACAAAGAGTCTTCTTTCCTGGCTTGCTTTTCTCTCAGTGATCAGGCTGCTGCAGGGCGTGAATGGAAACTTCAAAGAAAAGCAGAACATTGAGGCGTGTGATACTAAGATAACAAATGACTGACAGAGAGGTTATTTCTAAGTGTTGGACTCCTAATTGCTTGCAAAAGTCGACACACATATTGCATGTTGCACCTAGGTCTCCTCAATGTCAGGTTAAAGAAAGCATCTGACTTCTCTGCAGAAATTAGATATTTATCAAAGCTACAATATCCACTAAACCACATGAGTATGTATTTAAAGTCATGTTTCTAAATGACTCTTAACATAAATCCAATGTTCAGTCTTGTTTTTGTCAGTAAAGTTGTTTTTTTGCCATAAAAGCAAAACAATACTCTAAAACGGAAAAAGACTCGCTAAAGTTAAGTGTTGAGGACTGCAGGACGACAGAGGAAGTTCAACAGAGCGATGAATTCTAATTTGCAATTATTCAAAGCATGTTTTGTTTGCTAATGCAATTATGTACAGTCATCATTTCTATCCACACAGACAAACACTCTGTTTTTCACTCTGAGGTGCATTAACTGACTTACAATATAAATGTAGATGTACTGTACCTTGCACAGAGAGAAGGAAGACCACCAATCCACTCGCTGCTGCTTTTAAACTCATAGCTGCTCCTCACGTCTCTGTTAGATTTGCAGGTAGATCACACATGAGAAATACTCTATCAGTATATCACCAAAAACATCTCTACAGAAATAAGGAGGATGTGGTCTTTGAAGACAGTGTGTTCCTTTTGCAGCTGGTACAGTTCTGCTGTTTAAAACCAGCCTGGTTTCCTTCCTCTTTACATTATTAATATATATGAGCACATGAATTACTGTAAATCCCCAAATAAAAATTAAGTTAATGGAAATGACAAGCATTTTGATCTCTTTTTACCTTATATTACAAGTCAGGATCAGTGTATTTAAAACCCAGGTACAAAAGATATTCCAGCCATAAACATGCAGCCAGACGGCCATTGTAGTCTGAGTGTACGTGTAAAGTAAAAGACAACCACATTTTCTTTATTAGTACATCATGGCTTTCTAAATGTTAACATTAAGGCGGTAGACAGAGTGCACGTTGTAGAGAGAATGTTTGAGAGCAGACGTTTGGATGTGGTTTGCGTCTATACTGTACATCATCAGAGCTTCCTGTTAGAGTTTCAGAAAGACTTGTGGTTGTGGTTTTATAAAAGGAACGGCTGAGGTGGGAGGTCACAGCTGAGGTGGGAGGTGTACTCTAACAACTCACCTGCTACCATCATTACTACAGACAAGACGTGTCCCTTGAGAACAACGCCATAAAAATAGTTGCATCGTTGTATAGATACTGAGATAAAACGACTGAATAAGGAGAAAGAAAGAAGTTGCAAAGTGAGAAACGTACTATCTGTCAACATGACACATCCTTGTTGATAGATGATCCAGTAGAATTAAACAAACCACCTGATAAAAATGTGCTCTGTGGGGTTACTTAACAGTAGAGCTTAAAGGTCACCTATCATGCAAAATGCACGTTTTGATGTCTTTTATATATAAATATGTGCCGCGGCGCTGGTGTGTCAGGAGACTCACAAAGTGTCTGAAAATACAACCCCCTCTCTTTTCCTCCTTACCCACATCTCTAAAAACGGGGGTACAACGGAGCTGATCCAGATTTTCTGCGGTCATGACGACATTACTCAAATGTTACCACGGCCCTATCAGAAACGTCGCTATCAGAAACAATGCGCGACCTGTTTTGGGAATATAATATGGACTTTAGCATCGCTAACACTCAGAGCTAACCTGTACTGGAGAGAGCATGTGTAAAGAAGCAGGATGTTAAAGGAACTCACCTTGTGGTAAACCTGAGAGAGAAAAAGCATTTGAGCTCCATACTGTTTCAGAAATAATCTTTGATGTGGTTTGGAACATAATATGGCGTTAAATCACGGCAGCATTTAGCTGAGAATCTGAGTAGAACTCTCCTGCATGAGCTCTCCTCTCTTTATTTTTATTTTTTTTTAAACTACAGACACAGAATCAGCACTTTAGTAACAGGGCTGAAATAGAGGGATATGAGACTAGAATGGGTGATCTGTTTTGGTATGTTGAGCAAAACACTTCATAGACACGTTATTATATCTGAGACCTATAATATATATGCCTAAAAATTGTATAACAGTAGACCTTTAAAGCTACATTTTTACTCCACTACATTTATTTATCAGTTTTAGCTACTATTTACATATAAACACTTAATATGACATGATACCGTACTGTGAAATAATGGGGATAAAAACCCAATTATAATATTCTAAAATACTTTGCTAATTCAATCCTGTTAAAGGACAATTCTGCAATATGAGTACTTTTAGTTTGATATTTGAATTACAATTGACTGATTCTTCTGTACTTCTACTCAAGTCACATTTTCAATTCCTAACTTTAACTTGTGATCAAGTTCATAGTATTTCTAGTTTTTCTTAAGTAGAGGATCTGAGTACTTCTCCCAACACTGCTTTGTTTCAAAGGTAAGACATCAGTAGAACAAATGTTTAATTATGTGGTTATTCTAATAGGGACTTGAAGGACTAAACCAGAGTTTATTAGACTAACTAGTCTGTTTGTTGTTGTAACACCTGCTGGTCACCGGCAGAGGTCAATAATATTCACATTTTACTACACGCCTCATTGGGACCTGGAGATAACTGAGACTAATGCTGGTTGGTAGAGTCTGACACTTTGGGGGTTACCAGTGAAAAGGTTTGATGGTTTATAAATAAATACACTTTAAAAAGGTTTTTCCTTTAACTTCTTTATTTCACAAATGTGTTTTTGTATTTGAAACACATAGGCAATACAATGGACTAATGATAACACAACAGCTAAGTGCTCTTTGATAGAAAAGACACTGCACACTCGAAAGGGCAAAGCAGATGGATTAGACATACTCTATACAACTCAATATGAAAACATAAATGTATAATATGGACAATGTGACAAAGGTTTGGTCAAAAGGACTGCAAAAGTATTTACAAATACTCATTCAGAATGAAAAGACAATTCACAACTTAAAAAATACTTTATCAATTTAAAAAAGAGAAAGCTACCAAGAGCATACCTCTTTACAAGATCTATGACTAAACATATTTCATAAGGACAAATAATAATAATATTTCCAAAAACACATAAAATAAGGCTTGTGCTACGCTGAAGGACAAGATGCTGAGGTTAAGACTCTGTTGAAAGAGGAAGAAAACATGTTACAGTTATTTATAAAGAATACTTAGAAGTAGAGCTAAGAGAAATGAGGAACTGATTACAACTCAACCTTCATTTAACAACCAGAGGTCAAATGTGAACATCATTTTAGAACAAGACACAATAACATGTAAAAAAAGACGAATCAAGAAAGATAGTATTTGAAAATATTGATTAAATATTGGCCGTGTTTGTGTGTGTGTAGGTTTGTACAGATGTATGCGTATATGTGTATACGTATATTTAAATATACGTATACACCTTCTTTATAAAAACATAATCTAATTTCTTCTCCTTTTTTTGTCTTCATTATTTTATATTTTCCCAACTTTACTACTATTATA